TTGCGTACGCGAGTGATTTTCAGGTTCGCTGTCACCGGCGAAAAATCGTATCAAAACAACGTTATTAGTAAAAGTTTTGAATTTTTCACGCACCACCGAGCTTTGTTTATTTATATTAGCTCTTCACGTTTAACTGCTTGGCAATAAAAGTGAGTTTTTGCAGGTGAATCCTTGAATCGGTTTATTTCGTTTGCTCGGCCTACAAACTGTTTGATCCATGACCATGCGTAAGCTTTACACCAGATTATCCTAAAGCATGCAAGACTGAGTGAAATTGTTGCTAATGAAAACCGGGAAATTATAAAATCATATCTCATTATTAATATTAATACATATAAATATTTAGGTCTTAGGGCTTTCCCGGCTTTCAACTTTGATTTTTCTGTAAAAGAAATAGTTTCATCCTAGGTTATTTTTTATTTAAAACAAAAGGTGTAAGAAAGTTTTCACTATTTCGTCTAATTTGCTTGTTATAATGTTTTAATTATCATCGATAAAAATTTGTATATAGTAAATATTTATCAACAATCAAAATTTATATGGAATTGTCGTTTTCATTCTATAGTCCTATGGAATTTTCTCTAAAAACTTTTGTAAGCAACTTTATATTTCTTTATTTTCTTATGAAAATTTGAATGAAAATATTTTGCAAGCATTTTACAGAAATAATATTTTTCAAAGCTTTCTTTTTCTTATCAGATTTTTGTCCACGACTATTACTTTGAAGGAATAAGAGTCGTGATATTTTTCTATCGATTTAATTGTCATGTATTTTTATGACGATATCATCCTCAAAACCTCAAATTGAGAGACGCTTCCTGGCCGTCTGTGAAGAGGCAGCAAATTACATTTGTGCTGCTAATAAAGATAATAATTTGAGGTGCTCAGATTTGCAACATGAAAGAGCTTTAGGTGTGCACTATCATCATCTGCACGGTGCAGCACCATCTCCTCCTGCTCATCCGCCTCGCAACTTTCTACGCCTGCTGATTTTTTTGTTGATAAAGAAAACTGAGGAGGCTCTAATTTTGACAAGACACCTGACGCATGCACCGCCTCTAATCTAGTAGAGTGTGTGTTTGTCTGGCATTTCGAAACTTAAAATTCGGAGTCCTTAGTATTTTTTTTCCTCTAAAATAATTGTCAACATTTCCCAATATATGGTCAGATTTCTACTTTTTGCGCGTATTGATTTCAGATAAATAGTTTTCCAGCGGATAATTGCAAAATGCGGTGCGAGTTTCTGATGTGTGGAAACGCAGGTCTCGATTTTGGTGAGAAAACCACGAGCGCTCTCTAATTGTTTACAACAGACAAAAATATATATATAGAAAGGAAAAGTAAACATGTTTGGTTCAAAAGAGTCTCGTGAGTCAGTGGAATTTAATTTAGAGCAACTTCTTGTCAGAAAGATGCCTTCAGACGCATGTTTTGCGCTCGAAAAAATTTGGATCAAGAGCTGGGAGAGTGAGCTTTAATGCTTTGAATGAACAAGAAGTTGGCTTTTACAGTGCAGTTCGAAAGTAATAATGAAGGTACTCAAATAAAATAACCTTAATCGATTATTCTAATCAAATAACAAAAATCAAATTTGAATGAAGCAAGTCAATGCAAATTAAAATAGGAAAAATAATAGGTAGATCAAAACTTGCTATGTGAATAGCCGGAGTCATAGTTCAGTTTAGTGGGAATAAATAATTAATTTTTTAAATATTATCTCTAGGTGCTATTAACCGTAGAAACTTTTACTCTAGTTGGATTTTAAGTAATGAATTTATATTGCTTCTCTAATAGAGCCGTACAAAAATATATACATTTACAATTTTATTTTTACAAGAAATAAAAAGAAGGTTCAAAAATTGATTAATAAAAGTTTTGAATATATTTCATAAATTATAAAATTATTAATATATAATAAATTTAAAATAATAATTTGTTTATTAATACTAATGCATTGCAATAACGTTAATTAAAACTTTTAAATTATTAATTTTTTAATGTGTATATTTATGATAGTAGCATTATATGTAGAAATCATGCTTTTTATTTTACATAAAAATAGCTCATGTGTGATCAGTGTGTGATAAACAGCATTATTTATTCATATCAGTGAGCTTCAACGTATTAAAAAAAACTTCTCGATAAGGCTAACAAGTTGAAATTAATTTACTTAAAACTTTGACTTCCTGAGATAAATTGTTTGTGTATAAAATTCCAATAATGAAAATTTCTAGATTTTTACCGCATACTTTTTCAAATTCAGTTAGGCACAAAAATAAAGTATGAGAGAGCAATAGACAAAATTGATGCATCACGTCCACGGTGCATTTCTCTCCTTTTTGCAGGAGCTCGAGTTAGCTGCAGCCAAATATCGCGTGCTACATTTTTAATCTCCAGTGGAAATTGCCGCTTGTCTCAACCATATATAGCACTCGTTGGCACCTTCACCATATAATCAAACTGCACGACACACTCACACAAGAGAGAGAGAGAGAGATACAAGAGCAAGAACTTAATTGTCTTTGTCAAAAATTATACGAGAGAGTCGCTTGATGATCATGACGACGATCTTAATGCCTCCTATTTTCATTTAAAAGAAAAATCACGAAGAGCTTTTTTTTTAGCACAGAAAATCATAAAAATTAAATGTATTTTTTTTTAGACAAAACAAATGCTTGAAAATTCCTACCCGCATCAATTAACATGATAATTATGACATGTATTCTTCGACACCCGAAATTTTGTTAAAACTCAAATTTCTTTTGAAATAAAAATACAAAAATAAAATTTTTCTCTAGTTAATTAGACAGCACAGCCAAACAGATTTTTTTTGGTGTTGATAACCGTACGAAATCGAACAATGGTACTGCCCGTGTCCATTTACTCCATTGTCTGGCAGTGAGCCACATTTGCATTAAAAAATGATCTGAATGCAAATGATAATGAGTCGAATAGGTGCCAATTGGCAAAAATTTGGCGAAAAGTAGGTCACCTATTAAAATAATATCATCTTAGTGAACTCACCGCTTTTGGTAGTTTTCCTCATGACGAAAACCGGCAGACGTCGCGATCCTCAAAAGCACCAACAACCAACTCCAAGAGCGGAACCCTGACTGCCTTGCTCGCGGTCGGCCTGGCTCAGGTCCGCGGGCAGGCAGGAGGGGAGACCGCGGGCAACCAGCCGTGCACTAAACACACACTTTCGTGTGCGATACACTACTTTGTTATTATAATAATTGAAATTCCTCTATTTTCAGCGGTACGCATGTTGCTGGGCCGTCTGTGGTCCAAATGCATAACAATATCATTTATTTTCACTCTTTGGTGTTGATGGTCTCCTTTTCTTCGCTCTCTCTTCACAATCAAGATTTGTTTGATATGGCAAAAGAGAACGAAAAAATGTGAAGATGAAAATTAATAACAACCTGCTAAAAGTAAGTAGAACGAGCAGATACATTTTCGGATACATAAGAAATAAAAATTGAAAAGAGAGTTTGGCTCATCTTTAAATTTCCTTGAACATTTTTTAAACTTCACTTCCGTGGTTTTGTGCAGAACTACCGATTCTTTTCTAATGAGGAAAAGCTAATTTTACGCCAAAGGATGCGCGTCTGGCAATTTTATGTTAGAATTGTTAGAAAAACCGATGGTAATGACAATGAGGTTAAAAATGATGCTTTTATTAATTTGTCTCTCAAGGCTTTTCTGCTCTCAACTCTATAGAAGAAATAATCATCATGTGTACGCTCGTCTCTCTGCACCAAGAACACGCACACGCAAGGCCACAATCTTGAATGCAAGTGTTTCTCGTTCTTGTATTAATGTTATCAAGTTAAGTGAGAGCTCCTTATTCAGCTCAGCTAGTGTGCAAACCTTTTCTGCAACTTGATATTATCAAGGAAAATATCTAAAAATATAAATATATTTTTTTAATGACAAAAAATCGCAAAAAGCAGTGCGTAATGCAATAACTTATCCTTCATTTATTCTCGCGCGCCCACTCGGCTGCATGCAACTGATCTTTTTTAAGGTAAGAGGCACTCGGAAGTTGGGTTATTTTTAACGATCAGCAACACAAAAATCTCGTTCATCGGCCTTGAGTCTTTGAGTCGCCACACGGCCGATTAAATTTGTTGTTTTGGAGCCTTTAATAGCTATGCAGTCATTATAAAATAATACCTTTTCAAAATTTATTCACAGAAACAGCAATTTTTTTTCATAATGTAAAATATTTAAAAATTTTAGTTTTTATTTATAATAATGAATGTTGTGAGTGAGCACTTTATTTGCTCCAGGTCAATGGATGAATTTTTCAAAAGTTCGGTGCGCCAAGAGTTGCTCGAGGATGCAAATTGGCGCAAGCAAGAGCGCAAATGCAGCACGTTTTAGTCTCATCCATGTATATTCAACTCCAGTTAGTTCCTTCAGTTCACTGGTCGGAAGAAAATGATTTTGGTTTATTTCCTTCTTTTTTTCTGTTTCCAGAATAGTAATACTCTTGAGGAGAAAAGTGCATTTGAGGTAAAAATTCAACTGTCCACCGTTCTCATTGATTTAAACAATTTTTTAATTAAATTAGTGTAAATACAATCGATGAGGCTATTAATTATAATTCCGAAAATATAACTAGAATACATATGAATATTTTTATTTTGGATTTAAAAGTAAAGAATTATAATTTTCAGCGTCATTTTACACAGATGCTTAAATACCATTATTTAATTCCTATAAAATTTATCAATTTTATTGAACATGCTTTATTATTATTATACAGTTTTAATTTAAATTCCAAGTTCAAAATGTTGTAACATCAAGTAATTCCCTGCTTTTAGCCAGAAGAAGGCCAACTTGGTGCCCTGCTGACCCAATTAGTGTCCTTGCACCAGCAGCGGCACAGCCGGACGAGATGCATTTCCCTCGTGACCGACACCTTTTATTCGAAGCAATTTTCCTCGGCCAAATTGAATCAACACGTTCCTTTTTTCATAGACGTGATTCGGATGGATCAGCTTCCGATCAAAAACAGTTCGGTCTATCAAGTTCTCGAGAGGGCTTCTAAAGAGGACTGTGACATTCTCGCGCTTTTTATTTTCAACGGCAGGAAACTCGCGCACATCCTTCGAACCGCTGATAAGTATAATTAAAAATTTAATTGTATATGCGGTTTTAAAGATTTTTACTTTAAGGAGACGTTTAGTCAAGTCGAAATTATTCTTCATTCTGCCGTTTGATTTGAGACTTTTTGCTCCGAAAATGCACAATTTCTGGCGGCGCCTCGTCAACGTCATTTACATCCGCGACTCCCGGCAAGTTCCTCTGAAGAGAGAAAATTATTTTCACAATTTCCACGAAGCTGAAATCGATGCAAATCGAGCTTTGCAGTGCTTTGAACTGAGCACGGTATCCTTCCCAACACCTGTGGACCCTGATCACCCTGAAAGCTGGTTGCCACGACCGACCGCCACACGGTCTTGTTGCATTTTCTATTTTTGCATCCTTAGAGACGGTAATGACACAGGGTAATTTATCTGTCAATAGGTGCAACGAGCGGTTTTCCTTAAATGGAAAGAGGCTGGCGAGAATACTCTTTGAAAAGAAAACGCAAAATCTCAACGGTGAAATTTTGAGAGTATCATATTTGGAGCTGGCGCCTTCTGTAATAAAATCAGAACACGGCGAAGAGGAGCATTTCAACAACAAAATACACGGAGTAGAAATTGAAGTAAGAAAAGAAGTTTAAAATTTAGATACAAAAACTATAGTTAATAATTTCTGAGATACACAAATCAATATTTTTAAAGTCATTATATGTTACTATTCATATTTAAAAAAAAAATCATTATAAGAAATTCAATAATTTGATTCTTTTATTCTCTTGCAAAAAGTAAAAAGAAATGATTAATCATTTCATTAATCATTGCATTACCTCTTAACCGCAATGAATTTTGCCCCTCTCTTGAAGGAGGCCTCGAATTTAACTACCGGGGCTCTCCAGTCATTAATGTCAGGTACTTCCGACATCGTTTTGGGCAGTTTTCCTGACTTGCCCTCATTTGGCATTGACCTGTCCGCTCCATACGCAACTTACTGCTACACCTTCCTCACTCCTGAGCTGATCGGAGACGTTTCTTGGAAAACTCTAATCTTGCCGTTTGGCTCCGTCATTTGGGCATTGGCGGCCACGGCGCTTATAGTTGGTTGGCTCTCCATGCACCTTATTGCTAGGTAAATAGTTAGCAGAAATAAAATTAAAAATTATTCTAAATGAAGTTGAAATTTAAAATTATTGTATGCAGGTTAATCTGGCCTGAATGACAGAAATAAAAATTCTTTCCGTGATTTAATCTAATAATTTAACACACATAAATGAAATATATCGGATCAAAAATCAATACTTATAAAACTAAAGAAAAAAGACTTAAGCAAAACACAATATTTTGTAATTGTCTATATGTGACAAGTGACAACTAAAAATCTGGAAATGTTGTTACTTAAAAAAATTCAATTTGCAAATAATCATTATTTTAACAAAATTTTTATGTTTGAATTTTTTTACTTGCCAATAACAACAATAATAATTTTTTCGTGAACTCGCAACTCGCAAACCATCCTGTTCTTTAAAGATTGCAGGGGGAAAAGTGCGAGATGGCAAATCTAGTTCCAAGCGCCTTTAGCGCCCTGGGCATGCAGCTGTTGGTGCCCTTACCCAGGGAGCCCAAAGGATGGCCCCTGAGGTTGCTCTTCTGCTGTTTCTGGCTGCACTGCTTGCTGCTTTCAGTGTCCTACCGCGCCAGTTTCGCCTCCCAACTGGCCAAACCGCCGCCAAGGATTGCTCTCGACACCGTCGAGAAACTAGCCGAGGCCAAATATCTCCGGCTCATCACTTACGATACTTTTGCCAAGTCAGTGTACATTAATTATTTAATGACAGACGTCTTTTTCATTGAAGGAATTGCCGATCATATAAATAAGAAGTGCTTTGTAATTAATTTAATAGAGACATGTTCAATTCTACTCCTGATGAGCACAGCAGATTGATTGCGGAACGATTACAAGAAGTGGATCTCGAAGTTCAGGAAATAGTTCAGGAAATTAAAATGGGAAAAGCAGCTTTTTTCGGAAATGCTCAATTTTTAGGGAGCATCAAAACTTTTGCTGAAAAAACTCATTCAGGTTGAAAAGAAATATTTTTTTTTTAATTGGAAGGTAAAAGCACAATTTTTGTCACACATATTTCAGGCAAATACAGCGTCCACCTGAATGAGGAGTGCATTGTATCTCTGCCGATGTCTTTGGGTTTAGCCCGGAATTCAGCTCTCACGTCTCAAGTGGACAAAATCGTCCGGCGCACCGTGGAAAATGGATTGGTCACAAAGTGGCTGCAAGAGAGCAATTTCAAAAGTGTGCCAGCCGCCGAGGCGCAGCAGGCTCTCGTCGACTTGGCCAAAATGGTCAGTGTTTTCGCAGCACTCGGCGCCGGACTTTTTATTTCGTCCATTGTTTGCCTCATCGAAATCGTAATTTTTCGCTACGGGAGAAGGAAATGATAAGGTCGATAGTTTCGATTGTAACTTTATTTTTAAGAGTATTTCATTATTGTTGCCTTAGTTAGCTACAAAGGGAGTATCACATGTTCGTTTGGAGATATCTTTTTTTTCAATAGAGAGAGAATTAGATGAGAAAAGTGTGGATTTTCCTCAATACAAAGCGGAAAATGAAGTGAGAATGACTGTATATAATTATATAATACTTCGTCTCATGCTCTTATTTTAAAGTGTCTATTTTTGCGATTGACTTTCTTCCAGCTGCGGAAATACAAACTGCTGCACATTTACTACACCAAAGTGTGTATACAATTCACAATAAAATCTTTTCAATCCATGTGTGATTTTGTGTGAGAACAGTAGTACAGAATTACATTTGCTGGTATTTATACTTTTAAATGCCGATATCAACACACGCAAAAGACCATCACATCTATTCACAAATTCAAGGTGGAATGAGATTTCAGATGGGAACATAAGTTAAATTAATGAACCAAAACTAGTATGGTCACTCTAAGGAACGTGGTTTTAGTTAACAACAAAGTAAAAAAAAAATGAGATTTGTGAAGCAAGATTTTTATAGGAAGCAAGAAAAGATTCCCAAGACATTCCACCTTAAGTATAACTGCCCCACTATGAGGGCTCACAATACTTTTACAATACAAGTGGCAGTATAATTGAAATTCGTTCAATTAAAGTGCATTAATTAAGTTTATGAGATTTTCTGCTTCTGTTTCTGTCGTGGTAATGGTTCATCACGTTAAATAATTAATTGTAAGAAACACGCACACAGTTTGACAATTTTTTTCTTCAAAGAATTTAATTAGTTAAATGCAAATACTGAAACCGAAAATCTCAATTTGGCAGATAAGCTCAACCCAAAACGCATTTTTCTTTTTTCAGTCTTAAATAAAATAAGATTCTCATTTGTGTACCTTAAAACAAAAACTGCTGAAGTGAAAAGTCTGTGCCTTGCTAATATGACTGAGCTCTCTAATTGTTACTGATGATTAATTAATTAATATAACACACTCGTCTACTTGGTGACGGACAATTTTAAATTTTGCTTACATATTTTATCCTCATTGTCTGATGGATTCATCACTCAAAGCTCTAAGCTTCAGCTCGATTTGCTAATTATGTACAACTAAAAAGATGCTTCTAGTTAGCCAGGGTTCTTGAAGACTTTTTCATACAACTCATCATTTCGCAGCACATTGCGAGTTTGATATTTTTGTTTCTTTTATCTCATTTTGTCACAAATTTGCAACTGCTAGGAATGATCCATTTTGTTAATGAAATCGATACTGCTTTGCTGGTTTGAGATTGACATACGTCTTTTTGCTCACCTCCTCGTCGTCTTTTTTCACCTCCGAAAAACGCTCACCCTTGAGACTGACGATTTTGTTGTCCCTGTAGCGGACCATTTTCTTTGGTTCCTAAAATAATCAATTAATTCTCTTGTAATATTTTTACTGTTAATAGCTCACTGATTTCGGAGCTACTGGTCTGTGCTCCCTGCTGGACTCTGCTTGGTCAATGTAAGAGTATCGGGCAATGATCCTTTCTTTCAACTCCTGGTCATCAACTTTTGGTTTAGTTTTTCCACTAGCAATCTAAAAAAATATTTTAATTTTTAATGAAAGCAAGTTGATGATTAAAAAATGATTTACCTGCACTGAAGAAGCAGTCAAACTTTCTCCAGCGTCTTGTCTGTGCAGAACCAGTTGTGCAGCTTGTTCAACATCTCCACCTGCAATCGCTAAGCAGTGTCGCACTTCCAGATTACACACGGTGGGAAACATTTCCAACAGCAACTCCAATTGAGCATCAATGTATGCTTGTTCCTATTGTAATATCAAATTAATACTACTTGGATAAAAAGCTGCGAGTTGCAAACCTCTTGAGAAGGTAGGTAGTCTCCACTGTCAGAAGAACCTTCGCTGGTTTCTGACAGATGATGAACCCTCTTGCCAGTGTGTTCTTTATCACAACCTATGTCCGAGGACTGAGAACTGCCTCTGCTATCACTTGCACTTGAGCTTACAATGGGCAGTAAGGGAACTTCCACAGGCATTGAGAATTCTCTCAAGGAATCTGAAATAATTAACTTTGAGTTTAACTCTGTTTCCTTTACCACTTGAGCAAATCTTACTCGACTTCTTTTGATTGCTCAAGGAGGCTGCCAACTCAAATATCCATGTGCAGACTGCCGCCGGGCCGATGACTGAGAACTCGGGAAAGTAAGCCGTCATCATTTCACAAAAGCCATCAACGTCGAATGTGTCCTCGGATCCGTCAAAATCCATCCCCAGCTCTTCCAGAATACTGACCACATAGCTCAGTACGATTTCGTCGATTGAGCTAAATTTAGTCAATTCAAAATGATTCCGAGCTTTGATTTTTTTTAGTCAGGTGCTTACCTAAGTTGTGCGCTAGGGATATAACTCCTGAGAAACTTGAACAGAGCCTCTTTGATTAGATCTTCATGCTCTGCGAAGCTGCTCATTTCCACTGGACTGCGAGGAAGAAAGCTTGATGAGCAAATGCTATCTTCTTACAGCTCTGGGCCCACCTTCAATTAACTGAAATCGGACATTGGGAAAATAAATTTTGACCCCTTCAAATTTTATGTGCCAAAATCGTCAGCATGATAATTACATAACACATAATATTTAAATGACCTGCCCTTTAATGACAGGAAGCACCAAAATTAACAAACTTTTCGATTGAATGCACCTTGCGAAAAATGTGGCCGCCAAAAGTTTCTAAATAAATCTTGACCCTTACCCGAATTTTAGATTCAATTCTCCCTGTCGTATGTGTTGAATTTTAGTGATGAAAATTCGGTTTTGTGGGGTGAAATGTGGAGAAAATGCTTGCGATCAGTCAATAAAAACAATGGACATGGACACCTCCGTCAAAAATTTTGTTGCTGTTGGTGTACATAGCCAACTTAACAGTAGCTACCTCTGTCACTAAGGGCGTGAAAATTTTATTCTAGTGTGAATTTGAGCTTAAAATTAACATAAAATGATTTAATTTTGAAAATTTTCTGAAATTAGGATAAATCTGTATCTAAAATTTGTGAATCAAAAGAAAAAAATAATTAAGAATTACAAAATTTAACTTTGTAGTGTTTGTCAGACTAATCTTTGCACACCGGAGCTAGCAAAAGTAAAAATGGCCTCGATCGTCAGGCAGCTGGGGCTTCAATCAAGCCGTAATTTTTGCTACATTTCTCCTATAAATACTTAAATATTTATTTGATTTTAATTTTAATTAAATCTTCAAAGTTTTAGATTTATATTTACTTAAATTTGAAAGCTTAAACTTAGATAATCGTAAGAAAACTTCGCCTTTTGCAAGGGCAACCTTTGTTTTGTCACCACATCAATTTTATATTTTTCCGTGTATCCTTTGGATGTTTTAGGTGTTTTTAAGGATTTTGAAATATTCGACTCATATTTTACAATCTTCCCTACATTTTGCACATGTTATCATTTAAATAAGGTAGTGAACAGAGCAGAAACGACAGCGACTTCAAAACTTTTTTCGTCACTGGAAACAATTTTTTCCATCTTGCAAAAATTTTTGTTCTTATTATTGATATGTACAAACTTATTTTCAATTAAGGACATCATGTGGCGCCGGCCGTGTCCACTGCCTGCGGTCACGCCAGCTACAGCACTGACGTGAAGCCCCTTTCATCAACCAGGCTCACAGCAATGAAAAGAGGAACCGGCGGTCGGTCAAGCTTCAATGGAATCGTGGCCACCGTCTTTGGCAACAGTGGCTTCCTTGGTCGATACCTCTGCAACAAATTAGGCAAAATTGGCACTCAGGTATTAATTAAGAACTTAAATGCTTTAAAAATATTTAAACAATAATATTGAATGTATTTGAAATTTCAATAAATTCTTCCTTTTTGCAGTTGATTTTGCCGTACCGCTGCGACCACTATGACGTTCTTCGTCTTCGTCTGGTTGGAGACCTGGGCCAAGTGCTCTTCATGCCCTATGACATCAGGGATGATGCGTCCATCAAAAAGGCAATGAAGTACTCAAACGTCGTCATCAATCTGATTGGTCGCGACTGGGAAACAAAAAACTTCAAGTTCGAGGACATTTACATTGACGGTCCAGCCAGGATTGCACGTTTGGCCAAGGAGAGTGGAATCGAAAAATTCATCCATGTGTCCAACATTAGTGCTGAAGAGTTCCCTGAGGTAATTGAGATTATTCTAAAGATTTTGAGGTTTTAAGATTTAAAAAAAAAAATGTTTTTCTTTAGCCTCTTCTTCTGTCTGGAGGATCAAAAATCTTGAAGACGAAGTTTATTGGTGAGCAAGTCGTCAGAGACATTTTCCCAGATGCTGTCATTTTCAGGCCATCAGACATGTATGGAAGTGAAGATAGATTTTTGAGGTAATAAAATGTAACTAATTTTGCCTGCAGTTATGATCAAATATGATCCCTTGATAATTATTTATTTAATCTTTTATTCTGAATAAAATTACAAATTTTTGTGAACAGGAGCTACGCAAATGTGTGGCGCCGTCAGTATCGTGCAATTCCTCTTTGGAGGAAAGGAGAGGCCACCATCAAGCAGCCAGTATTTGTTAGTGATGTTGCTGCTGGAATCGTTGCTGCCATTAAGAACCCTGATGTGGCAGGAAAAACCTACTGCGCTGTTGGGTATTTAATTATTTATATTTCAATTTATATTTTTTATAAACAATTAACATTTTTCTAGCCCAAAAAGGTATCAATTGTCCGAGTTAGTTGACTGGTTCTTCAGGGTAATGAGAAGAGGCCCTGACTCCGGCTACTTCAGATATGACATGAGATTTGACCCTTTTTTCAAACTGAAAGTCACCCTCACCGAAAAAGTCTGCCCCGGCTGGCCAATTGCATCTTTGTCGTGGGAAAAACTTGAAAAGGTAAATTACATTATAGTTTAACTATTTTGAAACAAGATTCAATTGTTTATGTAGGATCATGTCACTGATGTGGTTCCCTACGGCTTACCCACTCTGGAGGACTTGGGTGTCACCCTCACACACATGGAGGATCAGGTGCCATGGGAACTGAAGCCGTTCAGAGCCAATGCTTACTATGATGAGGAATTAGGCGAGTTTGAAAAGCCAGCACCGCCCAAATTCATTCCCAACACCATCTAAAATTATATTCGGCTGCAATGCTGAGTAGGATTTGAATGTAAATAGATTGTTAACTGTTTCTAAGATCCGAAAATACAGAAGTCCCTATCTGACAAAATTTTACCCTGACTTGACCTCATTAAACACTTGATCCACCCACTTCAGGCTTTTTAATTCAAATTTAATCCATTTAAAATTTTCTTAACAGTTTCTCATTTTATTGCAAGTTAATTTAAATATATTAAAGAAAGACAATTATAAATTCATAAGTTCTTTTATTAGTTTTCAATTAATAATGGAATAGTTCACTAAAATTATGAAAACACTTTGTCTCACAAAAGTGCAAATTCATACCTCCAGCAATTTATTCGATCATTTAAAATAATGAGCACAATATTAAAATGCATGACTAGCAGTAAAAAAGAACGTACATTAATAACTCATGAGCTTATCTAAGCTTATTAAATATAGGTTTTACACAAATCGTCTCAGAAAGTATAGTTTCGTTAAATAAGAAATCCAGTAGAAATTTACTTAGCCATTTAAAAAGTACCGAGTGAACACCACCGGGCTTTGATCAATCAGAGTCTTCACTGTCATCATTCCTTAGTGGAGCGTGCAACCTTTCAAGCTCCTCCTGCAGTTGCAATACATGCTCTACAGGCACAGGTCTTCCATCAGGTCCTACTCTGCACGGCTGGATGATTCCACTCCTGGATCAAATTATTCATTTTCAGTTTATAAAACAACATAAAATGAAGATATAACCTTGTCAATTGGTCAATTTTCTCAACCAGTTTCACAGCTTCATATTCCTTTTGCTCATCCGACATATTTTCCATCGGATCTGGTCTCGGCTCTTCGAAACAGCCAACTATAGGGTTAATTCTGCAAAAACAGTTATCTTATTTTTGAAAATTTAAAATTATGATTGTTTTCCATACTGGTCTTTGATCAGTTTGTACTCGTCGGTGTCGCTATCTTCACTGTCGGAGGAGTAGCAGCCGCTCCTTCCACGGCCTCCCAGCATCAGGCCTCTGTTGGCCAACAAGCCGGCTGCATTTCCGTACCCGACGTACTTGACAAATCTCGCCACTATGTTTTTTTTTTTTTTTTATTGATTAATTATGATAAAAACTCAATTACAAAAAAAAAATACCTTTTTCTTTGCAAAGCACAAATAGGAAATCAGCAGCCAAATCCCGAACTTGTGTGATTGGCGTTGTAAGAAGAGCACATAGCAAATTCCTGCTAGTGTCGCCAGTTTCTGGTCGCTGCATGACTTCATCAGTCAGGGGTGGCAGAATTTTGTTCCTCAGAAATTTCCTCATGGGTCTCTGGATGAGACATCCCTGGCTGAGAAATGTCAAGATCGGAGACACATTCTCCATCAGATTTTTTACTCCCTCGGCCGAGAGGGCAACGTCCTGTAAAAACTTCAGTCAACTTCTTAATTGTCAATACAAAAATTTAAAAAATACCGTTCTGCTGACCACAAGACGTCTGTACAAAAAGTCTGATAAAACGATGAGGACTTCCATATTTTTGCCTTCGAACTGAGGTTTGTCCTCCAAGCCATTGATTGTGGGCATCAGATTTTCGTACAATGCAGGAGGAATGGCCATAAGCAGATTAACGGAGTGACTACAAACATAAAAGGAAAAATAAATAAAAATATCTCAGTGGGTGATTGAAATTACCTCCGCACATCGTCTAATTTTTTCTCATCGGGTGCCCCTAGCAAGAGAAGCTCACGAAGAATTTCCACCAGCCTTACGAGCTGGCTTTCAATATTTGCATCTTGATTTTGTACCAGGATGTTGAAAAGTGCTTTTAAAATTTCACTTGACAAGTCAGTTTGCTCCACCTAAGCATGAGTAAATTTTTTAAAAGCTCAATTTATTTCCTAATTTAAATTGTATACAGTCAGAAATTTTGTTGTACTGGAAGAAGCTCCTATGACATCTATTAAACAATTGGTCAGGATTTCAACTCCTTGCTCCTCGTCTCTAACTCGATTTCTATGAAAAGATTTACTTGAAAATGTACATTAAATATTTTATAAAAAGTTACATTATTTCTGGGCATTTGGCAGTGATGAGAAAAATCAATTTCAGGTCAAACAATTTGACAAAGTAAGGAATATTAGGGTCCTTGATGTTTTTCAGTCTCTTCAAAATGCTGCCTATGCAATGGCCTTTTGACATGTAAACCTGCACCACTGGACTGTTGAAAGTGAGATTGCTCAGGCATTTCAGAGCGGCTAGGGCCACTGAAATAAAAAAAAATTGAATATTTACTTAAATATTTAAATAAATTTTAAATATTTTACCATCATAACTAGAGTCGGATTTAGCTGCACTTTCGCCCAGTCCAGCCAAGTTAAGAAGCAAGTCGATGCAGTCCTCTTCAATGAAGTCACCAAGACCATCCTTATCCCGACTAAATGTAAGAGTATTAGATTCAAAATTTGAACAAGAATGGTTTTTGCAACCTCAAGATTAACAAGCTGTTCAGGCAACCTTGCGAAAAGCTGGAGTCCTGCGAGTCTCTCAAATATTTTATTATTAGGTTCCAAATGCTTCTCCTTTTTTCGACACTGCCAATATCATCAAAAGTAAATCGGTGCGAATTCTGAAATTTAAATGTCAACAAATAAATGAAGGATACCATGCATATGCATAATGCTTTTTGAAGCCTCTCAAGTTGATTGATTATTTTACTACGTGTCGATGTAGAACATTTCTCAAACATAACACAACTTTTTGAATTGGTTTAAGGCACTTTATTAACTTATTTATTAATTTAAATTACTACCTTTTGGAAAAATTCGGTGAGAACGAGACGAACATCCTCGCGACTTCCACTTGTCAAAAGAGCAACAGCATTTGAGTCCATCTTCAGAGCTTCTTCCTACGATTTTCTTCTAATCAATAACTATCTAATTCTTAATTCCTCGGTTAGGTGGGATAATTTAAGTTACACTTTCAGTGATAAAAAGTACATACTAGTCCAGATCAAAGGTTTTCCGGCACAAAAAGTATGTATGAATGTCTGAAAAGTTCTCCGGTGCAAAAGCAAAAAGCAAAACCTGTCAAGTGACCTCAGCCAAGCCCATTTGTTTACATCGATGGTGGCGCCGTTGCGGCCAAAAATTGAGGCCGACGCTATAAAAAAAACAAAGAGTAAACAACGCGCTGAAGAGGGAAAGAGAAAAGAGATGTGGCCCGAGTTGTGCCGACTTTGCGAGCGGCCAGCGGCCGAAGGCGGCTATCGAGGCGCCGAATTAGATTTGCAGGCGCTGGCCGAGTGGTGTTTGAATTATTTGGGCACAACTTTGGCCGACGAGGTCAAGGACGAAGACCTGTTTTGCTTCTTCTGCGTTTGGGATGCGAGGTAAATAATTAATCAGAAGAATACCATTTTATTACATATTTACAATTTGCTTTTCCCTTTGAGGTTTTTGCAAGAAACGATGGTTGGCCCTGAATCAGATCTTATTCCGTGCTGGTGGCCGGATGAAAAAATCAAGGACTCAAAGCTAATGTCTTATGAAAATTTTAAAGGTAAATATATTACATTTTTAAATATTTATTTTTTTATTTGAATTTATTTTTTTTTTTTAATTTCACTAGTTGGAAAACTTCAGCAGTGCTGGGTGACCTTGCAAAAACTGCCCCTTTTCCATGAAAGTGCAACAAGTGAAATTAATTTGGACAAACCAAAATTCCAGTGCATTTATTGCATTAAATCTTTTCTATGTAAATCTAAAAAAAATTTTCATATAAAAGTAAACCATGGGACCATTGCAATTCGTTGCAATTATAATGTAAACTGTTCTAATTACTTTTTAAGTATGGAGGAAAGAGATTTGCACATCAAAGAGTTTCATCTCAAATCAAAAGTGCCAGTTCTTCGAAACTGCATTTACTGTGAAAGAAAAGACTTTACCAGAACTGCACTTTGGGTTCATATTAAAAGAAATCACACTGATGTTGCCCTCGTGTGTCCCAAGAGGTGTGCAAAAAAACATTTCAAATCAGAAAATGAGCTGAAAATCCATTTGGAGACTCATCACAAAAGCATTGAAGAAAAGAAGAGGTTCAAATGCTCATCATGTAACTACCGGGCTATGGAGAGGGGTTATCTTAAATCTCATGAGGTGAAAGTTCACCACAAGTTAGTTCCTTTATCATTTAAGTGCTTGGAGTGTCCAGCTACTTTTATAAGCAATGCAAGCTTAAGAAGTCACAATTCCTATTACCACAAATATCGGGACTGCATTCATTGTAAAATGAGAATTTCATTTGGATATTTTAACCAACATTGCTATATTGTCGGTTGCAGAGTTTGCAAAATTAAATTTAACTGCCGTGGATTGCTAGACGATCATAAGTTGAAAGGATGCCCTAAGCCATCGTACAGTTGTGAATATTGTTTGAAGGCATTTGAAAAAAAAATAAATATGCAGTACCACTTATTCCGTGAACACCTGCAGGTGCCGAACCCTAGATTTAAAGATTGCCAACACAAATGCAAAATATGTTTCAGTTCTTTTAAATTACCTGGAAGTCTGAAAAAACATATTTTTCATAAGCATTCTATTGATCGCAGAGTTCAATGTTTTCATTGCCAAAAAATATTTGCAAGAAAACGTGAGTTAACTTACCATTTGGCTGATAAACATGATTGCATTGAAAATAAATTCAGCTGCCAATTCTGTCTAAGAAAATTTTTCACTGCCTATCTATTGAAACGTCACACACGCACACACGATAAGAAAGCAAAATGTTTTGTTTGCAATAAATATATGTTGCCAAAAAGCCTTACAAATCATTTCATAATTGTACATAAAATAAAACCACAAAAGTTGAAAAATGTATAAAAGCGTCAAATTAACCAGTATGATTGTGTTTGCTTATACTTCAATGATGATCTTTTCATAAATTTTTTACATTTTTCCTTTTTTTATTTCCCGTTTTTTTTCTTGTTTGTAAAATTGATCAAAATTGATTTTTTTCCTTTGTATGATGAAATTTTGTGCTGTTGGGTGTAAATATAATAAAAAAGTATTTGCAACTAAAATAATATTCATTTCATAATGTTTAGAGTGCAATTGTTGTAGCGCAGATTACATTTTTTTTTTCAATTTTTGTATTCACACAAAATTATTTCGGCCAGTAGCTGACGGCGGCCTTCGAGCAGCTGAACTGGACTTGAAAAAATGTGTTAAATAGTGATGCAGAGACTTCTCATCACAGCTTCGGGCTAGATACATTTCTTGGACTGGAAACTTTGACGCATGGAGAGGGAAAAACTTCAAAACTCTTGGCAGGTAGGCAGCATGAAACATTATCTCCTTGAGGACTTTGGTGGTGGAGTTTCGTTCGTTGATTTGGAGAGAAAAGGTTGTTGAGTATTCCTCGCCATCTAAGCCGACGCTGTAACTTATGTGCAGGAGTTGTCCTTTGATGGAGCCTTGCCTCGGATCTTGTGTGGTGACAAAGTGGATCGTGTGCGCCATATTCTCATCAACTCCTCGAAGTGAACGGTAATCAGCAAGAGCGACACGGACATCTCGGTGATCGACCTCAGGAATGGGCAACTGCTGCTGCTGGTTGCTGGTGGTCCACATTTTCAAAATTTTGACGATCAAAGAGAATTCTTCTAGTAAAAGTGCTTGAAATTTGAAAGTTTATGAAATACAATTAGTGTCAACAACAATTTAAAAGATTCTGATTGTTTAATTGTATATATTTGAATTATATTGCATAATTTTTATTGTTGATTGTCTTATTGTTGATTTAAAGCATTGTTTGCACAAATTTACAAAAAAAAAAAAATGATGATAATTGGAAAAGATAAATCAGAAAAGACATTTTTTTTGGGTATCGAGTCCAAATCCTGGGTCAGAAAAGGAATCTACTATTCCTCGTGACCTTTTAGCTATAAGAGAACAATGAAAAACAGCGCTCTTATTAAGCCCTTTTAAATTGTCTTGAAATCATAAATAAAAAGAAGCGCTTTTCTTGTTGATAAACGGCGATCGCCTGTTATGCACTCTCGGGTAAACAATAAAAGAGGTGTTTAATTTTATCATATTATGTTCTGAAAAATGTCGACTAACAAGGAGCTCGGGGCAATTTTACGCAAATTGTATCAACAAATTTCAGAAATTTTACAGCGTGCAAGAATTCCACTAATGAAGTTTCTTAATTTACTTATAAAAAAAAATACGAAAATTAACAAACAAAATCTTTCCGCCAAAACTGTGACAAAAAAATTGATAAATTTTTGACATTGTTCCTCTTCTATTTCCCGTTTTTTCTGGTTTGTAAAATGTATCAAAATTTATATTTTCCCTTTGTATGATGAAAGTTTGTCTCAGTTTGTCCTGTAGGGTGTTAATATAATAAAAAATTATTTGAAACTCAAATAATTTTCATTTCATAATTTTTAGAGTGAAAATTACATTTTTTTTCTTCACACAAAATTTTTTTCTTATACATGTGGATCTGTGCAAATGGTGTCTTTTTTTATCCGCATTTGAAACTCTGAAACTTGACAAATGCGCAAAGAAAGTTCATTTCATTGCCTAAATATTATTTCACAGAGGATCATTTATTTAATTGTATTCAGGATTTAATTTTCTTTTGTGCCACATATTATTGAAAAAAAAAAACAGACTAATTTTTTCTGGGACGCTCACGCTCAACTCAAGTGCTGCTCATGCAATGAATTGGGAATTGGGAAGCGCCGCCTGCAGCAAAATAGTGCTCTTTGCAATCGCGCCCTTCTGTAGTGGTGCGAATCGGAGGGATATTAAGTGGGCGGAGTCAGTAATTGTTTGCAATGTGCCAAGTCATGTCGTGTGTCGATTTTCTGTTCAAAATTCGGTTGAAATGAAGACTTTTTGGGTGATAACAAGAGGAAATCTGGTCCAGCCCGGCGACACGCATCGGCCGAGTTCAGTTTGGGCTTTGTTCCCAGCGAAAAGCAGCAGGTTAGTTTCAATTTTTTTTATCCAGGTGTTTTACCCTTGCCAGTCTCACCAGAAGCATCAAATTTTTCTATTTTTATTTATTTCCGTGCAAAGCAATCGTTTTAAGCACAAAACTGAAATTTTTAATCTAATTGTTGTTGATAATATAACTGAAATTAATCAAATTTCATTCTGTAAGGTGATTCAATTTTTAATAAACATGATCGCAAAAAGCCCAAGTGAGCCTAGAATCAAAGGTGCTCCTGCCAACAGGAATGGAACCGTGTAGGAATTGAAATGGTCGAACATTTTACCTGGAAATATGAACTTTCAAAACAATAAGAAAACCTATTATGGATAATTTAAGTTACCAGCTATTGTAGGACCTAGAGTAACGGATATTGCGCTAATTCCGTTCACAAATCCAATCGCTTGCGCGGCGCCTTCGGGACCGCACAAGTCAAACGCGATGGGCCCGATAAGACTGATGAAACATCCGTCGGCAAGACCAATGCCAAGGCAAAGCAATATCATGTAAATCCAAGCATTTGCTGGCACGAGCAACATCGTGAAAATTCCAATCAAAAAAAGGGAAATCTGAAATTCGTTTATTTAAAAAAATTAAACTAAATCAATTTTTGTTTTTCTCACTTGCTGTAGCAAAACTCTGTTGATTTTCTCGTGATCAGAAAGCAGTCCAAAGCCCACCCGTCCCACGGCTGAAGCAACACCAATGCACATTACTAAAGTTTTTCCGTCGTCCCCTGGGAAGTTAATTGATACAAATTTCACCTAAAAATTACATTGCATTTAATTAAATATTATATAAAAATCCTTTTTATTTCCCATACCAAGTGGACAAAAGGGACAAAATATCCGAAAAATGCAAAAGGAACTCCAATCGTCCAAATGACGAACTTCTTATTTTTCCAAATTTTCACGTTAAGAAAAGATTCAATTTTCAGTTTCTTTTCCTCCGTTCTGCCAACATTAGCCCCTTCAGGCACCTATATTACAGATCAACATTATTTAAATAAAATATAATTAAAACAAAATCAAACTGTGTAGGCAAAGGAAACTGCAATAATGATTATCATTAAAAGGGCAACGACTCGAAGCGTCCAGTCCAGTCCGATGGATGGAATCAGGGCTCCAAGCACCGGCGGCAAAATGAAAGTGAAAACCGAGGCGCCGGCCGTCGCGATTCCGCACACCAATCCTATTCTGCGTCTGAAATGCAGCCCCAAAACGGAAAGGGAAGGGTTGAACGAAAGAGAGGCGCCGCAACCAAATAGAATTCCGTAGGTGAAATAAAGCGCTTCGACCTAATTATAGAATTGAATAATTTTATATCTTGGTCAAATTGGTCAAATTTTACATATTGAACGACGAAAGATGACGCAAGCATTCCGATGAGTGCGAGAGACCCACCGATAATCGCGGTCATTCTGTTGCCCAATCTGTCAATGAGGATGCCGGCCAGAGCAGAAAAGGCGAAGGTCATCCCGAGACTTAATGAGCCGACAAGGGCTGAAAGGAACATTTAATAAATATTATTGCATAGACAGTTACAATTGGAATATTTTCAAGTATTTAATCACAATTGAGGTACAAAAAAAGGAGAATTATTTTGTATGTAAAAAAAATACTTATATGAAATTTATAAATTAAATAAAAATAGAATGAGTAGAATTTTCTGTAATGGCTGCTGATTTTCTCATGATCAGAAAGCAGCTAGTCAACATCACTCAACCTGTCACATGGCTATGAAGCAATACCAATGCACGATATTCTTAAGTTTCTTCCATTATCCCCTGTGGACGCTAATTTTTTTAATTGTTTATTTCCAGTTTTCATGAAAGGGTTAATTATTTTAGGCATTATTTTTTTAAACAATTTTTTAACATTGTTATAATTTATTTATTAATTGCTGCCAATGCATCATGCATTTTTATGCTTCTGTATCACAGAGATATTTATTAAATTATTTTTAATCAAATATATTCCCAAAAGCTTAATTAGCCTTTTTAAAACATTACTTTACTTTAATGTCACGAGCTCGGAAAACAACGTGTACGCAAAGAAGAAGTTGCTTAATTATGTAATATATCGTACTTGTTTTTGTAAAGATACGATTATCACAGTAGTTACACACTTTTTCAAGTTTACGCATTTCACAAGCTTTCCTCAGGTGGAGATCATAATTTTTTAGCTGCCCATATTATCAAAGGGACTTTACTTGCAAGGCGTTGGAAGTAATAAATCAACTGTGTCTGCGTGTGCTGGGATTCGCGGGTGGTCTGCGATTTTAGCCGCGTACGTGCTTCTCTTTTTGTGCCTTTTGGTTAACTTTTTTTAGGGCTTCCGGTATAATAGTAAAAAATTTGAAAAATAAGCATGCATAGCGTAAGTTGAACGAACTAATTATAATAAATTACAATTTCTTTGCTGAGAATAGGAGATAATAGAAATTAAAAAAAGTTTTTAAATTTTATTATACAATCCGGTGTGTATAAATTTTGCAGTAACAGATTAGAATAAATAATTTTAAGAATACACATTTCCAGAAGAGGGTTAATATATATGAAAATATAACAATTAATACACATAATCATAATATATATTCGAAAACGTTATATTCGCAAACCTTACATGTTTTATAAGACGTATCCGTGACGCCCGATGAATCTAAAATTCTCTGCAGCTCATAGTAAATGACACTGTAGGAAAGATTGATTCCAAAAACCAGTCCATGAATTATGAAACTGGCTGCAACCACGAGCCACGCGCGAAATCCACCATCAGCCGGTGCCCAGGGGTTTTTGGGCACCATCTCGTTTGCTGCTGCGGGATCCATCCTTAGCACCTGAGCAGCCACTTTGTTCTTAAAGGATAAACTGCCGACAATTTTGCATTTCTGCCCAAGCAAATCGCGGCCCCACCACCTGCATCAAGTTTACAGCAAAATGTTTACGCGCCTCACGTGTTTGTTCGCCGTTTTTCTTATATGCAGATTCTAAAAATAGAGCGCCCTGAAATTTGGGGACAGGGACACAGTGATCCGATTTGCTATAAATGTAAACAATCATATCGGCTTGAAGTTTTTTGATTATTAAACAATTTTAATCCGTCGGTCTTTATGTTGAATATATTTTTTTACGTATATTATTTAAGCTGAGAGAAAATAGGTTTAATAGCAGATTATGAACTCGTATTCCTGCGTGGGTGCATGTGTTGTGCCACCCTACTTATTTTTATTGCCTTCTCGTGGCTGATGAGCAGATTGAATTATTTAATATTTCCATTAATAAATAAAAATAAATTGTTATGCATTTTACATTGCACCTCTGCATTAATTAAATGTAAATATGTATTTTGAATAAACTAATTTCGAAATCTTCTTAAGATCTCAATATTTTGCGTCAAACGAAAAAAAATTTGTTAATAAATAAATCAATCGTGCAAATTATACAGTTATAAGAAAATGAACATATTTTATTGAAAACGATAACGTCAAAACAAGATATTTTATAAATAAAATCGCAAGATCGTTCTTCAGCAGAGTTCCTCTGGCCTTTCTGATCAAAATCAGCGGATTCTTCTCAAACCTGCCATCGCGAAAATCACAACGGCACAGATCTTCCCTGTGAGGGTCACGTCCTTCCACATCTTGCCGACTGCATTATTACCTTGCAGGTTGCTGCCTGCAGGCTTCGAGTTCTTCTTGGCGGAGGCAGACCGGAAGCGGCTAGGCATTTTACCGTTGCTTTGGAGCGTCAAGTGCAAAATAATGAACGTTGGTTATGGACATGCGTCGTTTTTTCCAACAATCCTTTTTTTCACTCTCTCGAATAAATTGTTTTCAACAATTGAATGTAAACAAGGTGATATAACAATTTGGAAAAATAAACAACAATAATTTAACAATTTTGTCCAAATCAAAGGCTTTGCAGCACAGGAAGTATGTTTGAAAAGTTATCCAGTGCAAAACCTGATAAACACAGAGACGCATTGCTTGCAACTTGAATAGCAAAAAAATTAGCTTGTGACCCCAAAGTATAACCCCAAAGTAGGTCGGTGGTTGTTCATACATTTTTCTTGCCCTCAGTATAACATCCTACGAAGGAAAAGCGTATTTACCAGACAAATATAATATGCAACCGGCTCAACGGAGGAGTTGTGCGAGCTGCCTAAATTCAGTCGTTAACTCCAGTGTGGTACCGAGCGCTTTACATTTTTGAGCAGTGTGTTTTGTTTTGCAGTCTTGATTTGCTTATTGTCTACCTATACGGGACAATGTTTTCTTAATTTTGATTAAATTTGCAATGTTTACGAAAAATTTAAGCGTTTAAAATAAATTAATAACACGTTTAGCTATTTTATTTACCTGTATTATTATTTAAAGTATAATTATAATAAATTGATACTAAACTTATTAAAAACTTTAAAAAAAGACCAAAACTACCAGAGGTAGAGCTGCGGTTTCTTTCATTTTTTTTTTAACTCATAAACATAGATGGTGGCCAATATACCTTCACGCCAGTGTTGATGAATTTTATGATTAAATCAGAACTGTTTATTTCAATTTCAATTTCTAAAGCAATGCCTACCATAAAAATTTGATAATTATTTATGTAATGATTGTTATTTAAAAATGTAAGACAGAAGTCAATTTTTAACACACATAATTGCAAAAAGCCCCAAAGCACCCAGAATCAAAGGCGCCCCTGCCGATAGGAACGGAACAGTGTAGGAATTGAAGTGGTCGAACAGTTTTCCTGCAAAATAAAATTCTTGAGAACAAAGTAAAATCGCTATATTTAAATTGATACCAGCAATGGTTGGGCCTAAAGTGACGGAAATGGCGCTTAGTGCGTTCACAAACCCAATTGCTTGTGCGGCACCTTCGGGGCCACATAGGTCAAATGCGATTGGGCCGAGCAGACTAAAGAAGCATCCATCAGCTAGACCAATGCCCAGGCACAGCAAAATCATGTAAACCCAAGCATTTGCTGCCACCAGCAGCATCGTGAAAACTCCAATCGAAAAAAGTGAAATCTGGCATTAAAAATTAAAAACAAATATTTAATTCATTTCTCACTTGCTGGAGCAAAACTCTGTTGACTTTCTCGTGGTCAGAAAGAAGTCCAAACGCCACCCGTCCTACAGTCGAAGCGACGCCAATGCACATTACTAAGGTTTTTCCGTCCTCTGCCGGGAAGTAAATTGACACAAATTTTACCTAAAAGTTTTAATTTATAGTAAAATACAAAATATTCCTTTTTTCCCATACCAAATGGACAAAAGGGACAAAGTATCCAAACAAGGCACACGGAACTCCAACCGTCCAAATGACAAACTTTTTATTCTTCCAAATTTTCACATTAAGAAAAGCTTCAAGTTTCAATTTTTTGTCATCATTTCTAGTAACTTGTGCTCCTTTTGGGACCTATATTTTTTTAATAATAAAATATGATGCATGAAAAAAAATTAAACAAGCCGTGTAGGCGAAGGAAGCTGCAATTATGATGCTCATTAAAAGGGCGATGACCCGAAGCGTCCAGTCCAATCTGACGGACGGAATCAGGGCTGCGAGCACCGGCGGCCAAATGAACGCAAAAACTGAAACACCGGCTGCCGTGATTCCACACACTAAGCCTATTCTGCGTTTGAAATGCAGCCCCAAAACGGAGATTGAAGGGTTGAAGGTAAGGGAAGCGCCACAGCCGAATAAAATTCCGTAGGTAAAGTAAAGCGCTTCGACCTAATTATAGTTTAATAAGGATTTGTATTTGTGGAAAAATAGTTTAATCCTGCGTATTGAACGACGAAAGATGACGCGAGCATTCCGATCAGTGCGAGAGATCCGCCGAGGATCGAGACTGTTCTGTAGCCCAACTTGTCAACAAGGATGCCAGCCAATGCAGAAAAAGCAAAGGTCATTCCAAGACTCAATGAGCCAACAAGGGCTGAAAAGATAAATAGAAAATTATAGAAGTCCTGTTATTGTATATTGATAAAAATTAAAAAAATTTATTAATGAGAAAATGAATGTTTTAACTTATTTTGATGAAATTGAAAATAATTGAATTTGCAATAAAATATTAGATTTTTTTTAAATTTTTATTTGTTTCTGCAAACTCACATGTTTTATAAGACGTTTCGGTGACTCCCACAGAATCCAAAGTTTTCTGCAGCTCGACGTAAATGACACTGTACGAAAGATTAATTCCGATAACCAGTCCTTGAATTACAAAACTGGCAACGACTGCAAACCACGCGCGAAATCCGCCGTCAGCCGGTGCCCAAGGGCTTTTGGGCACAGTTTCGTTTTCCACATTAGGATCCATTCCAAGCAGCCACTTCCTTGATAGGGGATAAAACCAGAACCGACCGTTTAGAAATGGGAAAAGAGGGTAAACAATTTTGTATGCATTCAATTTATAGTCACCTTTATAAAGAATCTTTAAAAAAGTTCACTTATTCCGCCGTTTTATTATAAATCGAATCGCTTTCTAGCACCTTGCCTACTTATAGTCAAACTCTTCCTTCGTAAAATTACACTGCCAAAATTTGAGAATATCTGCCTAAACAATTAACGGCCCCACCACCAGCTAGAAGCGCAAGCTATCAGCCTTACGCGCCGCACGTGTATACCCTTTCGCTATTTCTAGAGCACCTTGCACCTAAAATAATCAGTAAAATTTTAATTACCTTTTGACGAATGGTTGAATTTGAAAGAAAAATATGTTAGTATCTCTTACAAGCACAATTTAGGACCATCTTTTTAGTTACATAAATTTTGCAAAGAAATAAAATGAATAAATATTACTGTGATAATAAATCACCCTACAATAGATACCATTGCAACCAGAACATTCCCAGTGCTCGTTGACAAAGTGGAACTTTTCTTTCACCTAGATAATCATCAGGTAGAGCCTCATAGGAGGTGTTGTTTCCTTCTTTTTTTTTTACAAAAAATACAAAACTAACTAAGAGAGGTGCTGTAGAAAATAGAATTACACAGGTTGATTTAATACAAAGATAAATTGCAATTGAACGACGCTCTCCAATCAGACAAAATGAGAGACGAGACCCATCAATTGTGGAGATTTTCCGAGACTCACAATCAGTTTTTGTAATTCAGGATGCTGACCGTGGCAGAAAATGTGAAAGCCGTGTCAAAATTGTTTTGAATATATCATAATAAATTATGATCATTGATTTTAATATTTCCTATTATTTAAAAATTATTTTCAAAGAAAATATGGAAAATATATTTGTTCATATTTTTTTTTTTGCTAAAATTTATTTTCAATATTATGCAAAAAATAATGTCATTAAAAATGAATTTTTTGCACGTTACAGTTGTTGCATGACGATGGCCACGTTTGTCGTATTTTTATCAATACTTTTGAAATATAACGCATTTCAGTTTTTCAAGTCATGTCAGTCAAATTTAATTACATGTTTTCAGTTGTTTTCAGTCTGAATTTTATCACACTAAACATGCCCATACTGTTCCGGGAAGTGATACTGTACTTACTTTAAACGTTCTGAAAATAAGCAAGTGCAAGATATGAGGAGTACTTTTTTACTTACCATCTATACATGTATGCACATTTTATCTTGGCGTTATTTATTGAGAAAACAGATTTTTTTAAAAATCTTTTCTTTGCGTGGAAAATTAAATTATATTTCTTTGCATCAATGTCTACAGTGAAGCAAAAAAGAATAATAAAGAAAATCAACAAAATCTGAACAAAATGATATGTTTTAACAGAGTTTACCTTTCTGGGAACTGACATAATTATGGGTTTTTTACTGTTGCTCTTGAATATCAGCACTTCAAAAAGCTTGAAATATTTTTGAATTTATTTATCAGAAGTATAAAATATTAATAAAATTTTACTTTCCCAGGTCTGAATAAAATCAATTCAAACAAATGTCCCATTTATATTTTCAGTTCAGTCTCTGAGCTTAATAATTTTACTTTTTTCCGTCTATGATCTGATCAAGTGATCAAAGAACTGAAAAATGAGATAACTGTGCCTCCCATTCTATTTTTATCAATTGGAAATTAAATTGACAATCTTCCGTTGGTTGCTCGGAACCGTTTTGGTTAGTAGAGTTGGTGCTGACGCATCGTCATTGTTCGACTCTAGGACTGCCTTGGACCTGTAGAAGGTTCGTCAGTCAGTCAGATGTGCGCACCTTCGTCCCGTGCATACCAATAAGGGCGGGTGGGGCTCGTCGTCGATCATTACCACGATGGGAACGCCACTCACAAAACGCTTTCCAGAGGTGCTGCTGCTCCTGATTTTGCCGCACGCATCCCAGCCATGGCCGTCCTCCGTCTTCTGGTGAGAAATTTCCACCCGTTCTAATCGAATTTCGCCAATTCAAAATCATATACGCAGTAATTTGACATGATTTTGCGTCAATCTATTGCCAAATTTATATATAACCAGTCCTTTTTACGTCAATTCGAAGCTTTTGATTTCTCTGCTTTGATCGATGAGAGAAAATTTTGTCATTTCGTTATGCTCATTGAGAGAGCATGAGGGCTTCCTCTTATCTCGCTGCACCGCCCTCATTCACAACTGTATGTTTATAGGTTTTTATCGTTGCTCTCTCTAATTAAAGGTGCAGGTGAATTTTTTCTAGAATAATTCAGGTTAGGATATTTCAGCTCAATATCGTTCATAAAAGTTTAGAGAATTAATTGTGGTATTTGCGCTCCTTTTGAAAATCAAGAAATGTTTTTAAGTTGAATGGTAACACTCGAGGTGGATTTCATGTGTTTCCAAATTTCAATTCACGAGTTTGTTAGTTGTTACGAGAAAAATCTGAAAAATATTTAGGTTTCAATCTTTTGAACTTTCATATAAATTTAAGTTGTTTTAATTTTAAATAATGTCACTCGCAATCGCTCTAAACGCAAAGGAATGATAAAACAAAATTTTTTTAGTACATCATTATAATTTGTAGCTGCTTGTAAATTAAATATTCTTAGGGGCAAAAGGTTTTACAAAATAATCATATTTAGAATGATATGAATTTCAAGGTAAAAAAACAAACAACGTTTAACGCATAAAAAAGCTGCTTTTCGAACACTTATTATGTAAATTATTAGTTTTTCAATATTTTTAGCAAAATGTATGCTGGAAAATATTTTGTATCAATATTTTTAATTAATTTACTTGCAATTTGCTGTTAGCAGCATTCACTTAAACCTTTATTTAAATAATTTTAAAATTTTCTACCATCATCAATTGACAATATTTTATCTGTTAAATAATTTTAGAAACTCTCTAGAAAAACGAAAGGAATCGAGAGTTTTCAAAATGTGTTCACGATTGGCCATTGAGGACTGTATAATTTTGGATCGTAGCCAGGAGGGAAAGACATTTTTAGGGGGGTTTCCGAAACGAAACGTAGTCTGAATTTTAATCACATATATATTTGATTTCAAACGAATGTGGTGCTTTTTATATCATCCACTTTAGACAAAGGCATTTTTCAATAATGAGACGGTTCAGGTTTGAATTGATTTGTATTCGATTTGCAGCAGTTGTGGCTAATTGTTGTGGCGAGCATAATTTGGTGTCCGGCGAGAGGTCATCAACTCGGCTCGCGGTGCCACAACAACGAAGACTGCACGCTGGAAATGTCCGGCGGGGTCATGTGCGACGAGGGCCGCTGCGAATGTCTGCCTCATCACGTGCCACTCAACAGAAGCACCTGCATACAAGGTACCTCCTAATGGCGTGCGAATATTTATTATATGACACGCCGCAAATCATTATCGCACACAATTTATTCCGTCGACGCGCGCGCCTGAATAAGAACGGGTCGAGCGAGCCAACAAGGCGAATCATTCGCATTCCTCGTATCTTGAATATGTACTTGACAATTTGAGATCCTCAATTAAATCGTCAATGAGGTAACGTTAAAAAATAAGGAAATAATAATAAATATCTTTCTTAAAAAAAATCATTGTTAAGTAAATGAAATTAATTTTAAACTTCAGCAGTTTCTGTTTCAATTTAGAAAATTTGAATTTAAGTTCCGATTTCAGCAAGTCTCCTTGGATTTGACTGTTTGCTTGACTCGCAATGTAAAGACCGAGTGGAAAACAGTTCTTGCGTGAACGGCTCTTGTAGGTGTGATGCAGGTTTCATCCCTTTCAAGCGGCACGCCTGTCTCCCCCGTGAGTATTACTTATATTTTATATTTATATATATTATGCCTCACTATAGTTATTCAATCGATTTTGAAAATTAATTTTGTTTAGAATTCCCACAATATTCTTTTTTTGCACGTTAATATAAATTGCCAATTTTTCAATTTCAAAAAAGCGGCGAAACTGGACCAAATTTGTTACTCGGAGGAGCAGTGCCGGCTGTGGGATTCGGACTCGACGTGTGACTACATCATTCCCAATGTCATCGGCCGGTGCCATTGCACGCCTGCATCGCGGCAGCTCGGGGTCCAATGCTTGCCAAGGACCGCCAATAATAACAACAATAATGACAGTACGTTTTGCCACTTTCAATTTTTCCAGTCATAAATATCATAAAGTTAACATCCGCTATTATTTTGCCTTGGCCTCTAAAACTGACTAAAAAAATATAGCCACAGCTAAAAGAATTCTCAAAATTGAAAATGATGACAGAAAATTTTGAAGTCCCAGAAAAAAAAACTCAAATTTCACCTATGTATGTTAAATTTCATGATGATCTTCCATGGCAGTATTCCACAAAATCGGTATTTTTGTTTATCAAAGTTTCAATGATTTCTCCAAATTCTGCAAATAATTATTTTTAAAACCTTGTCCACTCAATTAATACCACATAAAATTACTAATGTTTTTTTTCGTCAATTAATTCTGCACAATTAATAATTTCAGTTGTTGAAGTTGAAACAGTCGACACATCATCACTAATCGTCACGACCCCTGTTAGTTTGGGTCTCCGTTGCATTTCCGACTCGCAGTGCTTAAGTTCGGACCCAAATTCGCGTTGCCTGAACGGGATTTGCGATTGCAAGTCCAACAACGGCTCGGCAGTTCCGCACTGCAGCGCCCTCAACACCGGCTGCTACCCTGGCACCTTCCAGGTATGAATAAAAAAAAATCAGCAGGAAAAATGATTGACAAAAAAAAAATCAGTGCAGGGCGACTGGGCAGTGCATCAGTTGGTTTTTCGTGTGTGACGGTCGGGCGCATTGCGCGGACGGTTCGGACGAGGACGGCTGCAATGGGCCGCAATGTCCACCCCTGAGTTTCAAGTGCAAGAGCGGAGGTTGCGTCAGCAGAGCCTCCCTTTGCGACGGGGTCAACGACTGCAAAGGTGGCGAGGACGAAATGGGCTGCCATGGACAAAAAAGTATGTGTGAAATAACTTACTTAACTTTTCCCTCAACTTTTATTGACAATTAGCTGTAAAATTCCATAAAATTAATTGTAAAATGATAAATTAATAAAATGATCGATTCTAGCTTGTCCATCTTTTACTCTGAAGTGCAGAGGAGTGGACACGAAGTGCCTGCCTGAGTACGAACTCTGCAACGCGGTCAAGGGTTGCGCTGATGGAAGTGATGAGGTGCAGATTTCCTTCAATCTTATGACTTGTGAAAATTCAGTAATTTTTTCTGTAATTACAGTTGAGGTCGGTTTGCCGAGGGAAAAGAGGAAGAGGCATACCCGGCGTCACAAATACTGCCAACTGCCCGTTCAGGTGCGCCAATGGAAGGTGCCGGTCCTCAGCAGTGGTCTGCTCAGGGAGGGATGGCTGCGGAGATAATTCTGACGAGGACCAGTGTGCAATTTGCAGTAAGCAAAATTTAAATTGAACTTATCCCAACGCGAGCTAAATCTGCTTTTCTTTTTCAGAGTGTCCAACGTCATGAGAATATACAATTAATTAATTAATTTATAAGTTTTGCCTTAATTATTGTAAATTTAAGAGAATTAAAATGTTGAAAAATTGAGTTTTCAAGAAATGTCTATTTTTTCCCATGATCATATTCAGAGCTGAAATTATTAGGATTGGAAAAATTTATTAATTAAATCCATTTGTTGGCATTTATTAGCACGATGTTTTAGCTCAATTTGAGAAATGAAAACTGGGCTTATCCTTGTTGAAAATTGTTTCTAACATAACAAATTTCCAACAAGGATAAGTCACTTCTTCAGATCAAGAGAACTTATTTATGTCTGCATCAGTTGAATCAAATCAAGGCGCTTGTAAGCGTGATTCCAGGACAAGAGTTCGGCTGTGATACATTTGCAATGACCTGCATCACAAGTCCCACTCTAGCCCTGGAAGCACGTCCGGCCTGTGGCGATGATCAGATCCCCAGCGTCGCAGGGAATGCGGTAAGTCTTTCCTTGTGCAAACGCCAGGAGAGACTTGCCCATGCCCCCCAATGCTGGGGAAGTCGAGCGCTCGACTGTGCCTCTTGCTGCGCTGGCAGCCCCTTTTATACTCGCTGGTGCGCGCTGATTGGCCGCGACGCCTGGCGCCGAGCGCCCCCTCCCAGCCGCGACGGCGACATGCAACCGTTGCGGCGGAGAATATTCTAGATCGGGACTGCTGCTTTCTGCATCTCATACTATATGACGGCCCGTTTTGAAAATAATTATTATTTAATCAAATTCAAATTTTTTAATTTCATAAATAGATTTGGGCATATTAAAGAAAATAGTTGTTAAAAAGCTAGTTATTTTATTCAACTGGGAGACCATTTTTTAACTTAAAGGTATTTTCTGGAATTAATATTTATATCATGATCATCATGATAATATAATTTTGGTAACAACATAACTGTATTAATTTTGAAAAAAAAGCCATCATTTTTGTAATGGCTATAAAATTTTACATAATATATAAAATATAAATTTCTTATTGTTGCAGAAATTTTTATTTAATGAAATTATTTTTTTAAGTGATTAAAATAAATTTTTTTTATGTAGAGTCTCAATGCTCCAGACAGGGTACTTTTTTGTTTAAATCAGTTTAAATACAAACCAAATCATCATTATATTTACGTCATTAAAACTGTGTTTGAGAAATTTTCAATTGAACACAAATTATTAATTTTTGGTCAAGATTTTAATAAAAAAAAAAATTAGCAACTAAATCTGGAAACAAAAATCCGTAAATTAAATTAAGGTTGACCAAATATGATAAAATTAATAATTTTATTAATTCTATTTAATATTTATGGCCATTTGAACTTTTTAATTTTTTAACTCTATAAAAATATGACTGATCCAGTAAGAATAAAAATATAAGTGCGGTGCACTTGAAAACTAGATTTTATACGGCGGTTCGGGTCGAGCAGGGTCACGGTTGACGACCTTGGCGGCCGAGTGCGAATGCCCATAAAACATGCAAATTACTCGGCAGCGGGCAGACGCGCACTCTTATTCGAACAACAGAGAGACATTTATTTATGAGAAAACTGAACACAATTGAAATTTATACCTGCTGATTTCTAAAACAAAATTTATAAAAGTTGTTTTTAGCAAACGCGCATTTTTATAATAGTGATGACGTGCGTTCGGCGATTTTGTTTTTTGCAAACAAGGAGATAATGGTGCTCACGACGGACGGTCTTGAACTTGCACGCCAAAACCGAATGCATAATTTTCAGTTGTCTCGGAAAGGTGGATGAGACTCTCGATTCGTGCCGAGCGAACGACCACATTGACGTCACGCCTTGGGAAAAGATCCTACTGCATGTCTGGAAGAAATCACGGAAGAGAGAAAGAGATAAAATAAAACACATTAGGAATATATTATTTTCTCGAGAGACGCAAAAACAGACAGAGAGTTAAAAATTGCGCTTGTTCTGCGCCACAGAGGAGTGCGTGATTTATTTTTTCTTGGACGCAACACCAAACAAGTTTCATTTTGTGAGAGAACAGAATTTTTTTAAATAAAATTAATGTAGTCGTGCCTTCATTTGCTTTGCAATTACACTCTAACCTTTGCTCTTCAACATATATTAGAGTTCTACACAATTTTGATTCAAATTCATCTAAATATTGTTTTATTTCTTTAAATTGTAAAATTACAATTTATTTCTGTAAATTAAATTTATTTTAAGTAAAACAGTTAAATTGTGAAAAATACAAATCAATATATCTCCACCATAAATGGATCTAATTGTAAGCAACTCCATTTTTTAACATTCAAATTAATGTCAAATTTTTTTAGTTTGCAAATACATTTGCCCTAAAAATTGCAAAAATTATTCTATTCCAAAATAAACAAGATTTGTAAATTTCAGCATATTATTGCTTAAAAAAGAATAACGATTAAATTAAATTTAATTTTAATTCTTGAAAAAAGCATCGTTGAATCAAATTAGATCAAATTAAACCACACAAAAATTAAATTAAATGCATTATTTTTATATTGAATTATTCATAATCGTAAGACTGTTTTTATCGTTTTCCCTCTTATTTTAATTTGTAATTATACTTGATAATTGAATTCATATATTAACTTATTTATACAAGAACAATACAAAATATTTAAAATTATAAAAAGAAAAATCATTCGGAGGCAACAGCGACTCATTTTTAAATTAAATAACGTTGGCTGAAGATATTCGATTGGAGTTATTTCCTAGAATAATTCATGAGCAATCTAAAAAGGTTGTTTTATCAAGTTCTATCTTTCCAAAGAATATGTTTAATAAGTCAAAACAAAAATAAATCCACATTTTAACGTTCTATCGTTTCCTTATCTCAAATAAATCTATTAACAATTCCGCAGAAATTTGTAACTCGATAGACAAAAATTTTTGCGACGAATAAGGAAACAAAATTGCGTGGGCAGATCTCCTTAAACGGCCACAAAATCTCAGGCAACCTGAGCTTTTTCAATAGCGATAAACATAAAAAAAGAACAGATGGGCAGCAGATAAAAAAACGTGTCGGTTCTCTCGGCACCTCAAAAATTGGAATGCGTGTGCGGGGGCGCAGAGAAGAGCAGCAATTTATGCTTGTCAAGCGCGGCTGAAGCGACCGTGTCGTGCCAGGGTCGGCAGCATCCTGAGGAGGCAACCTTCGGGTGACACCTCGCGCGTACACAAAAATTTAATGCGTTATCGGGCGGTCGGGACGGGAAAGAATTGAAGCAGGAAAAAGACTCATCTTCGCCGGGACTCTCGGCGCAGTCTTACTTTTTCAGGTGGCGCGCCAAGGTCGCGGCCATCGAAGGGTGGCGGGCGCGCGGGTTATAAATGTGAAGGTTGAGAGGCGACATAAAATAAGGCTGCTCGCGACAAAAGGATGAACAGACTAACGTTTAAAAATTACAACGCTCTGAACATTATAAAACTAAAAAAAAAAAAATTAAGTTTTTTTTAACAAAAACCACAATTAATATAAGTAAAAAATTACATTTAATATTCTTTATTACTTTTGAATTTTTTTCACGTTTTGGTATTGTTGATTGGGTTGATTGTTGTACATGTGCTGTGTCTAAAATATTTCTGATTACATACCGTTAATTTTTTTTAAACAAAATGCAAGAAAATCGGAAAATATATCGTTTTTATTGTTATAAAACTATAACAAAATTTTCAGCTAATTTTTAATAGTTTCATTTAATGTTCATAGTTTTATTGTGATATGCTTACACATTCTTGCTTCAAAAGATAAATTGTACAACCAATCCGTCAATGCTCGAGATCAATTAAAAAAAAAACCCTAACATTTGTTGAAGTTCAGTTCTACTTTGAATAAATATTATTGTATAAAACGTATAAAAGAAGGTATGAGAGGAGTTTAAAAAATTTTCCATGGATTTTGTTTAATATTTTATACCATTGGAAACCGATTTGTTTGGTTTTATTATTCAGCAAAATTTTTCTATGCTAAATGAAAGTCGTTTTTTTTTCTTTCAATTTATTCGACAAGGCGATTGTGATAAACAAAAATATTTATTGTTTACGCTATTGCTAGAGTCACAACCGAAAAGGCCTCTGTGATGCGTCGATTTTTTTCTCTATTTGATGACGCGTCATTGCCGAGCTCGTGTGAATCGGTGAGTGAGAGAAATGTTTTTTTGGGTCGAAAGTGTAGCGCATCACCACTTAAAAACAACAACAGTAAACAAAATAATATTTAAATGACTGCAAATCGGAAGTGTTTTTTCTTTGAGATGCGAATTTACGAGTTAGAGAGCCAGGAAGAGGTGTAAAAACCGCGATAAATGGTTGTTTACGGAAGGCACCGTTGGTAGATCTTTTCTGGTAGATTTTTTTATTACACTTCTTAAATGCTACAAAATCTGAAACGTCTTTTAACAGCATTTTAAAAGGCTATGCGACAAAAATTCATAATAGTTTATAATTATGCAATGTCACATTTTGTTTAAACTTATATTCGACTCGACGATCTATAATTAATTGTAATTGTAATTATATACAAAAATTATTTCTGAATAGCCACCTCCAATTTGTGTTTCTCTTTCATCCTATGTGTCTCTTTTTATTTTTTATTTTATTTTTTTTTTTTTTATAAGTTCTGAGAAATCATACATCGACTTCTTTTTTGGAATAGAGAAGTGATAATGACGATGTTTCAACTAAATTAAACCAAGCATGAAAATTTCAAATATAGTTTGAAATAAATTGCAGTAATTACATGTGCCATTTTTATTTTTTATATCTTTCAGCATAATTTAAGGTTTTAAATTACATGTAAATTGCAAAGCACCAGCGTTATTTTTATAATATTGCTCAGTAAGGGTTCTGGGAAAATTATTTTGCTAAACAATTAGCAACTTTTATTACTTTGGAAACCCCATGCCCCATGCCACAATGCAAATATTGAATTGAAACATTTGATAAAACCACCTCGGGTGTTTGGCATTATATTTAACTCCTCGGACACTTCATTTGCAAAAAGTTGACCTCCACCTTGGGAAAATATTATGTCATATATAAATTTAAGGGAAAACCCCTCGCATTTATTGATTAACTCTTTCCTTTATCCAACTGTTATCTCAAGAATAGTTAATCACATTTTTTCAACAAGCTGCTTCCATAGAAAAGGTTTAGGGGACAAAAAAGGTATGCCAATTCGAATCCTATCTCTCAAGTTCATTTTCATATAGTCTTCTGATAATTTTCACGAGCGCAATGTCCACGCAGCAATAACTGGTTCTTGTTGAAGCGAAAGGCGATAAATTAAGCGACAGAAGTTGTGCGCAATTGAAACACAGATCTGTTATTTCTTTTCACTACATTTTGGACCAGCAAAAGGAATGGAGTGAAAAAGAAACTGAAGATCCTGTTTACAGTGGCGAATGAGTCGCGAAAAATGCACATTTATTTTGTGGGTTGGCATCACGTAAACATCGTAGTAAATATGGAAACGCGCGCTAATCCCGGCGACTGCGGCTGGCAAATATAATAATATCCGAGGAAGGGTCACAGGAGGAAAGTGTTCTGCGGCGGCGGCGGCGGGATGATGAAGCACCGCGTGCTGACGCCGTGTCCGACCGGCGCCGCGTGGAATGCGGACCCAGCAGTCGTCGTCCGCCCAGTCTGTATGCTAATTAGACGATTAATTAACCCCTTCCCCGACACGCGCGAATATAATGCGTGATGGATGCGTTTAGCCGAATTATTGTTTCTTCCTCTTTTGTCGCACGCAACTGACCCACCACGCAGCCAAGGACCTTTGGCGCCGCCACTTAAATTGATTTCGTCTGCAGCTCCGTATTCAATAAATTTTTTACATAATTTTTTTCCATTTAAATAGTGAATTTTGATGGTACTCAATGGAATACCTATTATAATCTGTAAACATGTAACATGAAATCATCCTGACTTGGAAACATAATTTTTATTAATAGTTCATTAATTTCAATTGAGAGCTTGATTAAAATAATTATTTTTAAATATACCTCTTGCACTTCAACGCTCTCACATGTTAGATATAAAAATGCCTAAAATAACATTTATTAAATTCAAAGTCAAAATAATAAAGATTTAAAAAATAAATAAACAATAATTGTAGAATATATAGTTTCAATAATATAGACATTTTAAAAATATAAGTATTAATATAAAAACTTTAACATACAGAACTATTGAAAATACTGAAAATTAAATAAACCATTAATATTTTTATTTATTATAAAAAACATGACATGCCATTTTAAATTACCTTAATATCATATTATTTACCTTTCTTTGAAACTTAAAAAATTAAAAACAATATTGGGCACAAATTTCTATAATTCTTTTTTTGAAATTTAGAACATGTCATTAAATTTGATCTATTATTGTATCATCCCCATTTTTTTTCATTTTTCACTGCCATACAAATTTAGAGCTCCTCCCTACTAATTTAAATCTGGATTGTTCCATTCTCTCATCCTGCAGCGATAAACGAAACATATTCAAAAGAAAACAAATTTGATCGTGACTCGCTTGGTCCATGCTTCGTTTTGTTTTCGGGCGGATTGGGAAAGGAGTGAGGCGGCGATGACGTCAACGGTGTGCTACGATTATGATGATAAGGTATTTACGCGAGAGCCGCGGCCCGCATCGCATGCATCCCTCGCGGATCACGTCATAGACCCCCAGCAGCAGGTTAAAGGTGTACGACGTTATCCAACCTGAGATTTGGAGCCGTCAGTGGGGCGCCTCTAGCGGCCGGTGCGGCAAAGTGTCAGGTATAAAGGGCGCTCGCTCGTGGTGTGGGCAACGAGACAATGTTGAGATTGCTGCTGATCACCTCGGCCCTCGTGGCCGCTGCCTCTTCATCTGGGATCCCCATGTGGGAATACCTCGACAGGTCCGAGAAGGTAGGAAGATAAAATTTCAACTATCGTTATTTTTGTGCAGTTTGAATCGAAATCCGAAAATATCTTTTCAAATTTTCATTTCTATATTTCAATTTTTAAATTGCAAAAAGATCCTCAGTTGATTCCAGTCTCATATTATAAAAATGCCATTTTTTTTCTAAATTACAATTTTTTTTTTAAATATTTTGGTACTTTCAATACAATGAATTTTACTCTCTCGGTCTCTCGCAACGAGAAAAACCCTGATGTTATTCAGTATTTTCATTTTAAACAAATTTACCTTTCCTTCTTGTACACTTTTAAATAATGCTAATCACGTCCTTGGACTAGATATGGACTTCTTGTAAATCACTACCATTTAACAAAAACTCGCCCAGCAGTACAATGACAGCAGTTTGTTCTCTCTCCACGTTTTTAAAAACGTTTCCCACGAATAGTGTAACATTTTGCCACCAATTATTTGCTCGCGCTAGAAAAGCCTGGTGTTCACGGTAGAGCTGGTTAATTAGTGCTTGTTGGGAGTCACGCGTGCCGACCTAGCACAATGAAACGCTCTCGTGACATAATGAATGAATGGCTCATTATTTAACCGCACACACACTATGCACAATGGTAATATCAGAAGAATTAGAGAATATTCGTCGAAACAATGCGACAAGAGTTCAACAGAGGCTGTTTCAAACTCTAACTTCGTGCTGAATCAGCGTTTGTTTGAAATTATCAGATGAATTTCCACTTTAAAAAATCTGAAAATCTACACAAATTTGTCATTTTTAGGCAAAAAAAAAAAATATATATATATAAAATTAAAATACCACAAAAAAATTCCTCAATTTTTTTAAAAATAATTGAATTGTCTCTGATTTTCTGGAAGAAAATATAATTAAATATTATGCTCTCTAAATTTAAAATTTTTGGTCCTTTGAAAAGAAATAATTTGATTCAATAAATATTATTATTTGCTACATCCTGATTGATGCGCATTCGAAAAATTCCCCTTTTGTTTATTTGTTTGCGATTTAATTTCCAACTTTTGAATCGCATGTATTTTAACTTAATATTTAATTTTTAATTTCCTTTTGAATGGTTGCAACTTAATTCTTTTAAATTTTACCATTGCAAGCGTTCATATCTTTCAAATGATTTAAAATATTTTATTTTAATGAGCGAAGTCAACGTTTTACGAAAAAATTATTCTATCCAAACTTTCTAGATGAGTTTCGCGTTGTAAGCAAAAAAATCACGCAGCTCATTTTTCAGTCTCGAGTGAGTTGAGCGGCGAATAAACGATGCAGAGTAATTGGCCATTGTTTCGAGTTGGCTGGGCGCATCCTTAAACCAAACGCGCGCGCTTCGATGCGTTCCTCGATCAAAGTCGTGCTCGTCATTTCACGGTCGCCTCGCTTTTAATATTTGCATTTTTCTGTTGCGCAAAAAGAGCAATTTCTCTCCGTGCCAGAGAGAGAAAGCCCGCGCATTTGCCTAAAAAAGAGCAATTTTCCAAAACGTAACGCAGAGGGTCGTCGCCGGTTTTTACGCACCAATAAAATGGAAACGTTACGACCCGTTTGTCAAATAAACCTTGACGGTCCTCAGCTTCCATATGCTTTTGACGGCTGTGGAGGAAAAAAAACGGAGAATCTTTTACCTTGTCGGCAAAGAAGAAGCGAAAGGCCATTTCGTTTTCTTGCACGCGGGGTCACGGGAACTCTAAGAGGTCGAGCAGAGTGACAAATCGCGCCCGCCGATCAACAATAATTAAACAACAAAACCCAACGACCTTCTCTGTTCCAACAAATGTTTTCATTTCCTACTCTTCCAAGAGGAAGTCCTTCCATAAACTGATATTGGAAAATCTTTTTCTCTCCTCAACTGTGAAACATCTCGTTTGTTTATATTTTCATGTTATTTACAACTTTTTCTAACACCGGATATGATAATAAGCACGTAACCTTCTGCAAGCTTTTGTGCCGAGTTAATTATCTAACATCTGTTGCAAAAAAGTTGTTTTGCAGCTAATTCTGCAAGTACGAAGACATACATATATAAATTGCAATTAATACTAATTGTTTGTCTTCAGTTATCTCAGATGAAATGCAAATAATGGCTTGTTAAGTGATGAATTAATTAAATAACATAAATATATTTGTAAAAATTAATTAATATTTTATTTATTTTGCAAATAGCTTTCTTACCATTTACAATTTTTTATAAAATTGAAAACAAATATAGTTGTTGTATTTAAATTATATGTTTTTAAAAATGCCTTTTTTAAATTCATTAAAATTGAATGTTAAGGTTTTATTTTTATATCATATATTTTGATAATTTATGTTTTTTATATATTAATTTTAATATTTAAGAATTAATACCATTTACATGGAAATAAAGACTGTTTAAAAAATTTAAGTCTCATAATTAATAAAATAAGTATATTTGTTGGTTCTACACAATATTCTTACAAACCGATTGGTTAATCGTGACACTCCATTAATGCTGCTTAAATTGTATTCCTCTGGATGGTTAATTTTGTTATTTATTTAGAATTAATTTATATTTACATGAAATAATTGAAATCATTACATTTGATATCAGTTCACCTTAAATTTTGTCGAATTATAATAAAATTTGTCTTCTTTTCAAATTATTATAGCCTTAAAATATAACATTGAAAAGTAATATACGCTTATCCTATACTCACTCAGCTATAAAAAAAAGCGATTCTCTTCGTTAATTTTCCAAAGTCAGCATAGAACTCAACAGTTTGTTTTTGCTTAGAGACTCACACGAACGAAATCGTAGCACCGGAGCAGGACATTAAAATAAAGAAGATAAAAAAGCCAGTGTATCTCCCATAGTAGTTGCGCAACGGTATATCTGAGGACGAGGCTGCGCGCATGGGGTCCTCGGCGGCCCACTGACCCAGTCGACCAACTCTGATATGCCAACGACCCACTTCTCCGTCGGGAGAAAAATAATTAGTCTCCTTGAATCCATAAATTTTCCACCAGAGCAAACAACTGCATAACTCTCCTAATTAACGATTTTGGAATTCTCTCTCACGCTTTTTAATCTGATCAAAAAATTTAATGTGCAAATTTATTCTGTTCGCAGGTGAACCGCCTGTTTCACGTGTTTATGCGACAAGTGGACGATTATTGCACAAGCTCAGACATGCCAGGTGAGATTTTTAGCAATTCATTTTAGCACGTGAAATAATGTAATTCGCATATTTAATGGCCGTTAAAATTACAATTTCGCCCTTTCTGCCAACTCGGTCAGTGATTTGAAATTGTAATTTTTTGTTGTTTTACTTTGGCAGACTGCAACAAGGCAATGATGGTGCACGGTCTGAGTTCGTTGGCACGGATGCAGGACCACCATTTGGACGCGATGGACCCCTACCAACGGGACGCCCACGAACTGAGTGAGTTTCCAGATTTTTCGCACGCATGACTTCACTCGATCGCGGCAGTCGAGCCTGACAAATTCGTGACAGAGAAATTTTGCCATTTGAATGATGATTTCCAGAAAGCGTGAGATGCATCGTCAGGGTAATTTCAAGTTCACTGCCGCTTGCTATTTTTAGACCAGGATACGCGCATTTTTTTTCGCGTAAATATATTTTAAACGGAATACATTGATGAACTATTATATATTATTTATTTTAAAACTTATTTAGTTTTAAACTATTTTTTTTCGGATTGTTAAATTTTTGAATAGATAAATTAGTCCTAAAATATGAGTAAAATTTTCTAGGAAGATTAAGCTCAAAATTTGTGCAATTTTAAAAGTGCAATAATTTGCTAAACAAATTTTATTGCAAAAGCAACTTTTTTAGAATTAGAGAATTAATTAGAATTATAAACCTCTTGAAAACCTAAAAATCATTAAGAATTAAACAACGCTTGGCTAATTGAAAGGTATGTAATTAAAACCCTTAACATTTAGTTATTTTTCTTTCCAAAAAAAAAGAATGCATGTAATTTATATTGAGAAAAAGATTATCATATTATTTTATACCTTTTGTGTTGAAAGATTATAAATTATTTGCCTTTTATTTCGAAATAGGTAATGTTCTTATCAAGAAAATATATTATAGCGTAATTGTAAAGTAATTGAAGACTGTTGTAACATATTCTTCTTGGCCAAGGTCTAGCGTTTCCCGTCCAGAGACAGAACTTTTATAAAGACCATATAATCAGCGTCGTGCATTATCTCTCCTTTTTCCATTATTTTCGTCGCAAAATGACGCGAGTGTTGGCTCATCTCTGCTTTTATTGTTGTCCACAGTCTGGGACGCTATGATGCATGACCACGAAAAGCATCACCACGACCAGCCGGCGCACGGAGGAGACTCGACCAGTGAGTATTTTTTTTCGTGCTTCAAAATTCATTATTCAGCACGTCAAAACAAACCGGATTGTGTGCAAATCAGTATTTGGAAATACCCCAGAGATCAAAACTTGACGCGAAACAAGATCGTCACGCTGTTTTATTAAGATTTTTTTATATATTTTCAGAATAAATTAGCACGGTTTAATATTAGTGTTTTCAGCAAGAAATTTTAATCAACAAAATTATTTAGGATAAAAAGTTTGGCAACAAATTAGATTTTTAATAACGAACTTACATGAAATAGAGTAATTTTTACATAATAAATTAAATTTTAAAAAGGAAATTCTTAAAATTGTCTGACGTTGAGCTAATTTCAAGGTTAGCGCCTCGTCTCGTAACGCTTTCGAGCCATTTTTGCGCATGACTCATTACCTGAGGCTTGAATAGAATTAATGAGAGATCCGCTTTGTGCCCGTTTTTTTCGCAGACGGCCTTTCGAAGAACGAAGCGAACCAAAAAGAGGTGGACCAGGAGCCCAAATTCGGCGACGAGGGGGCGGCCAGCAACCAGGAGGTGATTTACGCGGCGCCCCACGCCGGCGGCGGGCCCATGATGTCGCGGCTGCGGCCCGATGGCAGCCCCGTGCCCGGTGACCCGCCCGGCGGCCACCACATGACCCCTGACATGGACATGCTTGAGCACCGTCTCATGAGCCAGATGCCGCACCACGTGGCGAAACCCAGGGCCACCGCCAAGTTCCCCTTCCTCCAGAAACAGTGACCAAAATTGCAATTCTCCGCTATGTAAATATTATGTCCGAGATTTATTTATGAAGAAAAGCAAAATCCCCAGGCTGATATGAGTGTGACATGTAGATATTAAGGGAGAGATCCTCTTCTGTGCGGCGTTTGCGTGTATTTTATTTTGATAATTTCAAGTTTGCTGTGCTGTCTCAAATGTTTGTTCCTAATTAATATTGTCCCCGTGTAAATGTGTACAGAGTAATCATAAATAAAGTCTAGCGTTCAAAGATTATTTTAATGAGAAAATATTGGTTTTTCTTTAATTGCTATTAAGAAAAATACTTTCCAAGAGCAACATCAAATAAAAAAGGAGTTATTACAATCAATTAAAGAAAGGTGCGGAGTGAGTGAAAAAAAGATAAAAAGTATAACAGATTATTTTCTTGCTTGAAATGACAATTTAATTTTGGTCCAAGTAGACTTTTTATAGAAATTTCCTAATAAATGGCTAAAATAATTCCGCTTTCAGAACATATCTTAAAATAGTTCAACCCAACTCAGAAATATTTTAAAACCGTTGCTATTATGTTATGTTTGCAATAGAAATTATCTATAAAAAAAAACTCATAGTGAAGGAAGCCATTCTTTAAATTTAAGAATTATTAATTGCTTATGGTTGATTGGGTTTTATGAAACAATGAGAAAGTTTTTATTCATAATTTATTTACATTTAAATCTTAGCCTAACATTACATCATAAAAATTTTAATACACGTCACTCAAAACAAATAAACAATGTAATCCTTCTTATCCAAAGATACAAATTGAAGCCGCGGCTCAATCCCTAAATTTACATCTTAAGGTGACGTGAGCTTATAGAATAATAGATTTCCTGCTGGGTGCCGCAGAGAGAAAATATAAAACAGAGTAGTTCATCCATGAGCTGCAGACTCATTTTTTTTACAAGAAATGGAAAGGTAACTTCCGCCATATATATTTTACTATTTTATATAGTTTAACAATTATCACGTTAATCAAAGGCACGATTATAGGATACTCAGTGTTATCGTCTATTCTGAGTTAAAAGTTACAAAGTATGAGTGAAAAAATTAACTTATACTTGCTACAGTAGAAAAATATAAAAATTTAAATTAAGATTGGCAGCGTAGACAGACTGGCGTGTTCCAATAACGACATTGAATTGGAAACAAAAGGAGGCTTGAAAATAATTGATAAAATCTACAAATTCAAAATAGTTGCAACATATATACTGAAGTGGGAAAATTTTCTAAACAAAAGCACCCAGAGTTCTAATGAAATTTCAAACTTTTACAAACTAGAGCACCTACACTAAGCAACTGCGCAAAAATGAACACATTCGATTTGCTTTCTCTCTCTCTCTGTGGATTAAAATGATGCTGAAAAGACAACTTGAAAGCTGCTTCGGTTTGAATTAATAAAAAATACACTTCTTGTCTCCTCACATTTTGCAAAACCACACTGTTCCCTTAAAGCGAGCGAATTGTATTTGTCGGAAATAAATACTTGGTAAGTGAAGAGAATGAAAGTGCGACTAGTTGTTTTTCGACGATTTCAACGAGAAGCCGAAGAGATGCGCGCCGTCCAGAGGCAGTTGGCCCGCCTCGGTGCACGAGCGGCAGCAAAACCGTGCGTAGTACTTGTGAGTGCAGTACTTGCCCTTCACAATCAGCTTGCAGTTGGCGAACAGCGGACTGTCTGTACAGTTCGGGTGGATTTGCTGGTCTGGAAGCAAGCGAAAATTTTCAAGTTGCGATTTATTTTGCAAGAAAAATTTATCATTACTGGAGTCGATGGTGACGGTGACGGTGCCGCTGTTGACGCTTTCCTGGTTTCTGGCCTCGCACTTGTAACTGCCAGCGTCTCTCATTTGAACTCTCTCGATAAACAATTCGTGGTTCTCTGTGAATCAGCGGAAATTCCAATGATCACACAATGAAATTTGAAAGAATTTCGGATTAATTAATTTATATATTTTTTAATAATACAGTCAAGAAAAATTAAAATTTAGTGGGAGAATAAAAAATGATGTTAAATTAAGATTTATTCACTGCATTCAACATAAAATTTATATTTTGAAAAGGAATTTGTTGTTGTTGTTGAACTCTGGACTCAATTTCAATTATTTTCTAGCCCGCACTAGCCCGTTTATTTTTTAATTGACACACAAATTAAGTGTAAATTGGTTAAATGCATTTTCCCGCGATGTCTGTGTCTGTAAATCGAATATTAACAACACAACAAAGAAACTGTCTTTTTTTGTAAATTTAGTTGAAACATTTATTTGAAACGTCAAATATTTATTGAAAGATGAAGCGTAAAATTATTTAAAAAAAATTTAACTTGTCGCATACAAAGATGAGAAATGATTTAAAACTTAACTTTGAGCATGAAAAAGAATTATGGTTTAGGAAAAAAACTGTATGAGCTGCTTTTTGAGAGTGGCTCACCTGTAATCTGCACTCGCTCGGAAGCCTCGAGTCGCTGGTCGTCCTTGAACCACGTGACCTCCGGAATGGGATAGCCGTCCACATCGCACTTGATATTCAAATTCGTGTCAATGGCATAGGAAGTGCGCGGTGACGTGAGGCTGACCCTGACTGGCACTGCAATTTTCCACAAATTAATAACCCGCCGAGGAAGTACTGCCGTTTATGGTCGCTCGTAAATCATTCAAAATAGCAGAAGTGTTAATTTGAAAAAGTTGCAGGCTGTACATAACGCTATCGTTTTGTTAGTGAGAAAAGCTGGTTAATTACCTTGCCATGCATTGTGGAGAAGCAATTATCATTATGACAAGAGCGCAGAACATGCTGCAAACCACACCACAAAGTAAAAATTTTCCAAGAAAATTTAATTATTAATTAATCAAAATGTGATAGAGGTACATGGCCTAGAGAGGATGCATTTTTATGAAGTGAAAAAACGATATAATTTGTTGTTAGTTGGAACCTGTTGGAACCGGTAGAAACTTGACTACAAATAAATACAGATAATGCACGACATGTCAATATTTTTGTGAAGAAATAAGAAGTAAAATTAATAACAAAATATTTAACTTGATTTAATAAACCATTTTTAATTAAAAATTTCATTTTTTAATATTCAATATTTATTTTTAAATATTAATAATACATTTTTTTTATAATTTTATTTATTTCAATATTACTTATAAATAATTATAGTAAATAGTAAAACATCATTTGCTTTAATATTATTTAAAATATTTAATTATTTTTTGTAATATTATTTATTTTATGATCTTCACTACGTTATTAAAGTATTAATAGTGATTAATAGTAAACATAAGATCGCATGAAATATTATTTTTGCTTCAACAAAATCTACAAATTATACGAATAAATAGAATCATAACAATCCAATCCTAATAAGTAAAATAAAAATGATTGTACGTAATAAAACATAAAATGATCAAGGGAAAGTGAAAAAAATCTAGCTTCATCTCTCTGAGAAATTTTGATTTTTGGTCACGGTGTGGGTGTGCGACCATTGTTTCATGAACAAGAAAAAATTGAAAGTGGCAAAAATAGAATTAACCAAAATTATATACCAAACTGCTTGCAATGAAATCTTTAACTGATATCAACCAGAAGAGGAGCCTTTTTTTTGTTATTCCTTTCCTACATCACGAATTTCCCTCAGTTATCTTTAAGTGTTCACTTCTTCTGTTAAATTTTACAATATAAATGTTAAACTTAAAATTATTCTTCATGATGTGCTGGTGTACCTCTATTGACGTTATTTAACTTCATTCTTTTTAATAGCTAAAAAAACTATGAATAAAAATTTAAATAAATAAATAAAGTTATCAGAAAAACTGCAAAATAAGCAAATTTGCGGAAGAACAGATTGATACGGTTCAAACTTGAGCATTATTAGTGTACCTCGGACGTCTGGTACGGGTTGGACAGGTGGAATGTAAGGAGGGTAGGGGGGTCGGGGTGCGGGCGGCTGCGTGGGTTCCGGCTCAACCAGGTACTGATAGTAATTCTCGGAGCCTGAGTAGACGGCGCCGGCCGGTTTGAAGCCCTGCACCGTGATCGTCCACGACCTGGCCTTCTGGAAGCCGTTGTAGGCCTGACAAGTGTAGGGTCCGAGGTCCTCGAGGGCCACGGAAGAGATGAGCAGGGTGAAGTCGCGGCGCTGCTCGTACCGCTTGCTGGCCATCGGCAACATGCGCTCGCCGCGCCACCACGTGATCGAGGGCCGCGGCCAGCCCATGGCGTAGCAGTGCAGGATGGCCGGCGAGTTCAGGTGCACTCGCAGGTACGGCTCGACCCTGACCACGTCGGCAGGGGTCACCAAACCATCTACAACATGCAACGTGCCAAACAACGCCACCAACATGCAATATTATATACAAAACCCAAATTAATTTCAAATTTCAGGGTTAATTTTTTTCTTGCTTTGAAATTCCAGTTAATCATTAGCGCATTCGAAGATATGAAAGACATATCATAATAACCTTTGGTTTGAAATCAATGCTTCCCTTGTTTTTAAGTAGAAATCAAAATGTTATACGACATCAAATAGTTCATTAATACAAGTTTAATTCTGAGCAAATTCTAGTAAAGACGAAAAAATATTTGCAAATGGCGACAAGTTAAATATTTAACTATAAAGTTAACATACAAAAATTATTATTTATAATAAGTTTTTTTTTAATATACAAAATATATTCTTATTCTCAAAATATTTTTGTTTTATATACAATCTTTTGTATTTTAAAATATTAATAAAAAACTCTTTATTTTAACTTCATTTACTAGTATTAAATAGTATTTTATTTCTAAAATTATTATAAATGTTGTATTACTATTTTTTATAATAATTACAGCTTCGTAACCTTTTTAATATGAGCATTATAAATAATAGTAAGATTCGTTCATTTATTTTGGAGCAATGAAACTTGTTCAATTACTTTAATTATTGATTTCTTCTAAATTGAGGCAATGTAATTTAATGGAACTCTCAAATCATTAATAAAAAAAGGTTAAGATGAAAATTTGGCGATTTATATGATTTCTTTATTCATTTAAAATATTAATTATAACCTCTTTTTGAAATAACATATTTCTCTCTATAAAATGTCAATTATATTTGTATTATATTAAATCAAATAATAGTTAGTTGATTTTCACCAGTCAAATATTGAGTAGATCCTAGTTTTGAACAGTTTCCAAGTAAGATAAAATTAATTGTATTTTTAACTAGTTTCAAGCGTTTTTTTCTTAAAAATGTTGTAGAAACCAAAATTATGCAATCAATTAGATTTTTTTAATTCATAAATTTAAATCATATTTTATACTCCTTCAACAAAATAAAAAAGAACCCTTAATGTTGTTATTATTTTTGACTTTGTCCCAAGCAGAGAGTACATTATTTATTCAATATTTCTGGCAAGTCCTATACATAATAATCCAAAAGCCACATTTTGGACAAATATGAAGGAGCAGATTTTTTATAAATCAGTTTTCTATTAATTTCAAACCAAGGTCTTAGCGTTTAGTATAAAAAAATTAATAAATAAAAACAAAAATGAAACTGACCTGTAACTTCCAATCGAACTTCCCTGACAGCGGGGCTACCAACTCCATTGTCAGCGCTGCAAGTGTAAACTCCAGCGTCCTCCCGAATCACGCCAATCAGCTGCAGAGAACCGTCTGGCAGAAGACGGTGTCGGCCATGCGAACCATCAATCTGTAGGCAGGAAAATAAAACATCAACGCTAATTATTTAGTCCTGACAAAAATTTTACATTGGCCCCCTTTCTCCAAATGAGCACAGGCTTCGGGTTGCCTCTGGTCTGACACCTGAGAGCGCACTCGCCACCCTCTGCAACGCGCACAACCGGCTCCGGGAGATGAATTTGGGGAGCTTCGTAGTCTCCAACAAACACTGGAATTTCAAAATGAGAAAGTTTTTAGTTGCAAATCATGTTTATTCAGGAAACACATTAAAAACCTTTCTATAAACTAAAAAAGAAAATAACTCAATATTTATCAATTGGATGCTGTGAATAATAATTTTTTTTATAAAAAAGGTACCTGGTGGAGTTGGCTGCGGTGGGGTAGGTCTTGTTGGTCTGGGTCTGGGCGTTTCTTCGATTGCGTTGGGGTTGCGGCACTGGTAGGCGCAGCCGTTGAAGCAGCACTTCTCTTCACCAGGGCAATCAGGGTCTTCGCGGCAGGTGTGGTTGCACGCGGCGCCCTCTTCCACTGTTGGGCACTCGCCAGGTTTGTTGACTGGAAAATGAAGAAAATTATTTTTTTTCTTAAACTTTGCATATTTCTTTTTAAAGATATGAATTGATGAACTGAAATAAAAAATTTAGGAATCAAAAATGAAATTTCGCTCTTCAAAAAATATTTTTTTTATGGAAATGTACTATAAACAAAAATAATAATATTAATAATTTTTTTTTAAGTAACTCTAATTTCACAAATGAAATATCTATTAATGCATTGAAATTCCTCTTGACTTTTGTTCAAACTTACTTTGTCTGCAGACAGGTCTGAACTGCCGAGATCTGTCGTAAGCCTCAACGGCCTCGACGACACACTTAGTTTCCTTCGGGCAGGTGCTGCCCTGGCACGGTTCGTGGCACCTGCAGCGGCTGCAAGAGTTCTGGTCGATGTACTCCTCCGTGCCGTATGGACAGTTAGACTGGAAGTAGCTGCACTCGTAACCTGGGTCTCGGCATTGTGGCGGTGGTGCCTGAGTCGCCTCAATTGGAACTTCTTCTGCAAAGTGTCAATTCCAAAACCTATTACTTAAATATTCACACACAAAATTGTGTTTGATTTATAAAGGGTGCATGAGAATAAGCAAAGGAACACAGCATCATTTAACAAAAAAGAATAATTATAATAAAATTTAATTTTAATGAATTTTCAAATGAGATACATCATTATGCAAGATTGTTTCAGGTAATTTTTTTTAAATCGTCAAATTTGTACAAATTTATTTTTATTTCCTCCAAAAAGGGAAAATATTTAAACGTCAACCATGAGTGCAAAAGATAACGAAAAATATCCAAAAAGAAGAAACTTCAATTTAAAATAAATATTAAACAACCAAATTAAAGTTTTGGATATAACTCCCTTGATATAAAAGGGAGTTGCTGCTTTGCACGCCTCTTTTGCGCCAAAAGGATTCAAACTACACGAGCGATGTCTCGCCACCTAGCGGCGAGAACAATCTTTTGCAGCTGTTTGTTTTGCAAACACGCTGGATTCCACTCCGGGCATGTGTTTTGTTTAAAAATTAAACAATTTGCTGATTAGATAATTCAAGTAATGTCTTCTTCGATAGTTTGGAAAAATCTGCAGCTGTTCGATCAGGCGGAGGTAGCGAAAGGCAAGTTTTTATTTAAATATTATTCCGCAAACCATTTGTTATTGTCCTTGAAAATCAAAGAGTGTTTTATATTATCGTAAAATGTACTCAATTTTTATTCTAATTGTGTTTTAATTCGCAGAGGGCAAGAAGGGCAAGAAGAAGGTCGACAAGAAGGAATTGCTGATCTCCGTCGAGAGGCGAGGGGTCAAGAAAAACACAAAGAAGGCCAAGGAGGAGCTCTTTAAGCAAAGTATGTTCCCATTACAATGGTTTTATTGAACTCTCTTTAACTCTCTGTTCATTCCAGAGTCAACTATCTTAGGAGAGAAAGGCCTTCTTCTGCCTTCTCTGAAACATTCCGGCCCCAAGTTTGAGGAGGAAAACGAGGATCAGATCGTGGAGGAAAATCTGAAGCGCTTTCAAAGTTTGAGCCAAATTGCAGCCCTCGATTTGAAGACGGCGGATAAGGTGATTTTTTTTCTCTTATCTGATTTCCTGTCATGCTAGTAGTGTGGGAGATTTGGGCTGGTTTCCGGTCTTATATCCTTTCTAGTCTATTTTGATATGAATTATAAAAGTTAAAATTTGTATTAGAATTAATAAGCATTTTTTTCTATAATATATTGAATTTGATGCTTAATTTTACTAAACTTATTTTCATCCTCTCTCAGATTTTGGAAAGAACCACCCGAAGCACCAAACGCAGGGTGAAATTAGCTGAATCCGAAAAACCGGACACCTCGTCCACAATCTTCACGGAGGCGGACTTTGCGAAATTCGCCAAGAACTACGTCCCGGACGCCTGAATTAATGGTGGCGACCCGCACCATTGGCCAGCTGATCCTCCTTATCTCCAGCGTCCTCCTCATCTACTACACCCTGTGGGTCGTCGGCCTCCCCTTCGCAGGGCCCGACGACTTCTTCACCCGACTCTTCCCCAACCCCCGCTACGCCCTGGTCATCCCCGCCTACTGCGGCCTCGCCTTCATCTCCAGCCTGACCGCCTTCACCGTCTACTGCATCCACTATGCCTACTGAAGGGTGGCTGGTCATCGGGGTGTCCGGTGTGACCTGCGGAGGCAAGAGTTTGATGGCCAGAAAACTGCACTCGCTGTTCCCAGGGTCCACATACCTGGGCCTCGACCGCTACTTCCGAGACTTGTCCGACCCAAACCACCAAAAGGCTCCAGGCCTGGACCACTTCAACTGGGAAGTCCCGACGGCTCTCAATTTCGAGGCCTGGAGGAAAAGTGTTCAGCACATCCTCGCCGGCACCTCGGACGATTACGTCCCGTGTCTGAGCTGCCCTGATGACGAAAAACTGCCGGCCAAGGTCAATTCCTTCCAACCGACCCTCCAAGTGCCTCAAGTTTCTCACAAAATTCTGATCCTCGACGGTTTTTTGGTTTTCAACGACCGCTGGACGTCCGACTTGTGCGACCTCAAATTTTATTTAACCCTGACCAAAGAGCAGTGCCTCGAGAGACGGGACATGAGAAATTATGACCCGCCAGATGTTCCGGGATATTTCGAAGCCTGCGTTTGGCCCGAACATGTCAATATGAAAAAACAGGCCATGGAGTTGAACCCTGATTTGGTTGTGTTGGACGGATACGACAGACAGGAAAACAGTTTGGACAAAATGCTTCAGATCATTTCCGAATTCAGCAAGAAACAATAAGTTAAGTACATTTTTGGTGCTTAAAATTAATGGTGCTAATTTATGCTTAGTAAATAAATATAAATATGGAGAATGTAATAAAATAAAAAATTATTATTAAATAGCAATTTTTACCTGCACAACATTTACCTCAAAATTTTCTAATTAAAGGCAAATTTCAGAAGCGTTTTCCTACAATCGGTACTAATTAATGAACAAATGGAAAGACTGATTTTGCTCGTCATTTTTTTTTTTTTTTATCAAATTTGAGTTCTCAATCTTATTCCCATTAATGTAGAAGTAAATTAAAAAATTCGAAACTATTCGTAAATTAACTTTTGGAATTTCTTTTTATCCAAATGAAGTTTTCAAACCTTTCCAGTTTTGCTAATTTTTTAAATTTAAAAGTAACAAAAACATTTTGTTCTTTTTCCCGCAGCTAAAAACAGAATTGATAGAAAAAGTTTAAAAAAAATGCAAGCTATGAATCAAAAAAGCAGTGCGTTTTGTGCGTTGTGCTGATAGGTGCGTGGAAATTGGAATTGGTGCAAATTTTTGTGCTCTTATTGTGCAGTATTTAAAATAGACAGAGAAATTGTTGCTTTCTCTCTCTTGTCCTTTACCAGTGATAATTGGGAAATCCTCAACTTTGGGTATGTCAGGCGTGTAAGAAACGCCACCACAATAATAGATGCAAGTGCCCACGTCCTCAAAGTGGTTTCTGTTGCCACCACAACCAGTGTAATTGAAGGGTTTGCACTCGCCGGTTTCAGCGTCAAAGTAAAACCGACTGAACGAGTCCGTGCAAGGGCCCAAGTCGACGGGCAATTTGCAAAACTCTAGTAGGGTTGGATTATTTTAAGTTGTTCAAACTTTGGCAAAAGAAGTATGGAAAATACAAACTTACCTCTGCTATGGGAACACTTGGCGAGGCATTCTTCGTTGGAGCTGAATCGGTTTCCGTTTCCTTCGCAGCCGCCGTAGATGAACTTGCGGCACACGTTTTCGTTGGCGCTGAAGAACCAGGCCTCCATACTCCCTCTGCAAGGGCCTGGGTTGGGGCTGAGTTGGCACACATTTTCCTCAGGCGACGGTTCTTAGGGGCGGAAAATTTAATTTAATCAGTAACAATAGGAATTCATAAAACTTCAAAAATTTATCATTGAAGTTGAATTCTTCCATAAAACCAAAATTTCATAAGAATGTAAATAACCTTAGTAATTATTTGGAAATATTTTTACGATAGTTAACTGTTGAAGTTTCCTGCAAGACCCGGCAAGACCAATGCACAAATTTAATGGCTTGTTTTCCTCAAAATTGAGTTTTAAAATTAAATTATGCGTAGTTTTTTCATACGAATAGTCAAGAAAATAGTTTTACAAGAAAATTTGATATTTTAAGGTTTTTATAGACACTTAAAATACACATTATTTGGTGTGTGTGTACCTGGTTGTGTGGGAGCAGGAGGTCCGCGGCGACATCTGCGCTCGCAGTACTCTTTGTCAGGGAAGCGGTTGGTGTTAAGAAGGCACTCGCCAGGTCTGGTGGCGTCACAAGAGTCGGTGCTCGAGTCGTAGAAGTATTGGATGGTGTTGTGGTCGCAAGCCTCGGCGACCCTTGGCAGCGAGCACCGGTCTAAATTTGGAAAGTTTGAATAAATTTAAAAGCTAGTACTTTGAATTAAATGCAAAAAAGGCCAAAACTTAGGAAATACAGAGTTTTTTGTTGAATAATTATAGATTTTTTTGTATACTTTCAATGTAGTGACAGTTATTGTAAAATTACTTTTAAGCATGAGAATGAAATGATTTAAAAATCTATAAAAATCACTCAATTAAATTTTTGATATTATAATTTGAATATAAATATTATTGTCTGAGAATGAATTTTCTAACCTTGCACTTTTCCACACTTCTGATCGCACTCTTGTTTCGTTCGGTACCTGTTGTGATTGCCTTCACAGCCGCCATACTGGAACTCTTTGCAGTAGCCCTCGCTGCTGTCGTAGAACCACTTAGACTTAAGTTGCGTGCATGGACCTTGCTCCGCAGGCAGCATACAGAATTCTGCAAATCAAGTTTATTTTGTAAAATAATATAATTAATATTTAGTAAATACAAATGTTACTGTGAATAATTATATATTAAGCTAAAATTTATATCTTTTTACAAAAATATGTAGCGGAATAAATTTAGGCGCTGAAATCTGTCATCATTATTTTATTCGGCGCAAAATCAAATCTTCTGATATTTTGAACTCTAACCTGGTCTGTGAGACACTTCTGGCTCCACAGGCTGCGCGCACCGTCTGCTGCACAATTCCTCTGTCTGGAAGTTATTTTCGTTGCCCTTACAGCCGCCATAATAGAACTGCAAGCAGCGTTTCTGCAGAACGTTGTAGTACCAGCGTCCAACAAATTTACTGCATTCGCCTGCCACGGGTGACAGTCGGCAAATGTCCTCCTCTGTTTTAATGAAAATAATTTTTTTTATCTCTTTAAAAATAATATTAATTTGTTACAATTAGCAGGAAAAACACACAAAGTAACAATGTGCTATTAATTATTATTATTATTATTGCGGCAAAAAAAGCAAAAGATTTGACAAAGAATTTCAACCTTCCTTAATATAAAGATTTTGTGTGTGTTAAAAAAATCAGCAAAATTAAATGGAAAAAAAGAGTGGGAAGAGTGTAAAATCTGTTTTTTCAGCAAATTGTCTTGTCTTACCCCTAGCTTGAGGGCACCTGTCGTTACAATCCCTTTCGCTGACAAATGTATTCCTTTTCGGGTCGCAACCCTTTGTGTAGAAAGGCAAGCAGCGGTTCGCTTGTGCGTCAAACGTCCAGCGTGCCAGTTTTTGGTCTCCGCCACAACTCTCATCGGCAGAGACAGACTCATTGCAAACATCTGTGCACACCGTGCGCAACAAAATTTGTCAAGTGTTAAAAAAGCCATTCACCAAACATGCGAACATATTTATTTTTAATTTTTTTTGCATTCTGTTACATCACCAATAAAATTAAGTTAAAAATCAGCCAACACCAAACTGGAAAAGCTGAAAATGCAAAAACCTTGGCTGCGACACGCTTGGACGCACTCGGTCCTTGACTGGAACCTGTTTGCGTTACCCAGACAGCCACCAAAGCTGAAAACTTTACAGTCTGCAGCTCGAGCGTCGTAGAACCACTGCAGGATGGACTTTTGGCAAGGCCCTTTGTCTTTGGGGAGCGCGCACCTGTCTGTTGCTGTTGGCAATATTTAAAAGCGGAAATGCAGATTGCATAATATATATTTTACAAATTCACAGCTATTTGCATGTTAGTTTGAATACAGTTTATATTTGTTGAATAGCAAAAAAAAATTAAAATTTAGGCAATTCATTCCAAAACAAAAATAAAAAAAAATTAATTTACTACCCAAAAATTATGTTCTAACAAAATAAAAAATAAAAATAATTATTTTATGAATGTTGAATACAACAAAACAAATTTTTTTTTCATTAATAAGTTTTCATAAAAACGAAAATGTAAAATGTACTAAATAGATAATAATATAATGCAACAAAGCATAAGTTATCTACGGTAAGATATTCATCAATTCTTAATGAAGCCTTCAATTGGAAATTTGTAATAATTTTTTTTTAATTTAAATCCATAAATTTTAAAGATCTAAAAAATTACCTCTAATACTGGAGGGCAAGATGCATTGCTGCTGGCAAGAAGTCTCGGAGAGGAAATTGTTCTGATTGCCCTTACAGCCGCCAAATCTAAATCTTTTGCAAGCAAATTCCTCCGAGTCGTAGTACCAGCGTTCGTAATTTCCGTAACACGGGCCTTCCAGTTTTGGTTGAGAACATTTGTCTAGGGTGAAAAAAAATCAAAATTTTAAAATCTATAAGCGGGCGAACAATATCCAATAAAATTTCAGGGCAAAAACTAAGCCATTCTTTTACTTTTGCGGCACAAAAAATGCATTTTTTTTTTCAAATTTTATTTCGAAGGTTCGATTTCCAACCTTTGAGCTCCTGGTGGGCGCACAGTTGCTGACACTCTTCTCTGGTCTGGAACTTGTTTTTGTTGCCCAAGCAACCGCCGTAAATGAACTGGCTGCATCGTTTGGTGTCACTGTCGTAGTACCACGTAGGGTTGTAGCCCTCGCAAGGTCCGGCAATTTTGGGCAGGAAACATGCGTCTAAAAATCACAAGTGCAAAAATGCAGGAAAAGACATGCAGCGAATTTCGTGCTGAGGTTCACAAAATATCATCCACAAAAAAATTTAAAAAAAGAAGCTGAAATGAAATATTGTAATAAAAAAATCGTACCTCTGCCCTCCGGTTCGACGCAGGACTGCTTGCATTCTTCCTGGGAGTCAAACCGATTATTATTGCCTTCACAGCCACCATACCAGAAACGGGAGCAACCGCCATATTCAGAGTCGAAGAACCATTTGATGGTGAAATTTCTGCATGTGCCTCTATCCCTGGGAAGACCACAAGCCTCTGAAAAAGGACGAAATACTCAAAAATCCAAAATCCAGTAGTTATTAATATTTTTCTTTTTACAATTTTTCTACGTTCCAGTACTTCCAGTATTTTCTCTATAATAATTTGTATATAAAACGTTTTTATTAATTTTGTAACTAAAAATTGTACTGCAAACTTGCTTTACTTCAAATATTCAAATTTTCGTTTATGGAGAAAGTTTTTTTTTAAACATTTTACTTAGTTTATTTTTCTTTCTTTTTTCTAATTATCTTTTAATCCTTTTACAAACTATAAACTGTGACTTTCAAAATATTTAAATAAAATGAAATATATTTTTTGTACCTCCAGAGAATTTGGGTGCGTCGGCACATTCTTCGAATCTTTCGCCCTTGGCCTCAGTGACTCCGTCAGGACAGCAGCCGAACTCGGAGGCGTCGCAGCCGCAGCCCTCCATGTTTTCTCCCTTGGCTGGAGTGATCTTATCAGGGCAGCACCCGAATTCAGTGTCTTTGCAACCACAGCCAATATTCAATGGTCCCTTGGCCACGGTCTCTCCATCTGGGCAGCAACCGAACTGGAAGGTTTGACACGAGCAACCTTCATACTCTGGTCCTTGGGCTTCGGAGAACCCATCTGGGCAGCAGCCATGAGTTGTGTACTGGCAGCCGCAACCCTCTTTGTTCGGGCCTTTGGCGTAATCGACGCCGTTCGGGCAGCAGCCAAACTTAGACTTAGAGCACTCACAACCTATTTGCATAAAAAAGTTTTTTTTTTATTTATATACAGTCAAAATATGTTGTTATTTGGCACAATTTTAGCTTTTAATTTTATAAATTTTTATTTGTGCTTGTAAGTTTAAGAAATTGCAAAAAAATTTAAAAAATAATTTTATAATTCAATGAAATTATTGAGCAAATTATATTTAATTTTAAATTTAATGGAACAAATAAGTAATATAAAAAATTTCTACCTTGACGATCTGGACCTCCTGCAGGTAAAATATTATCAGGACAACAACCATACTCGGAGTTAATGCAGCAGCCCTCCTCATTGGGTCCATGGGCTGGTGTGAGCAAGTCAGGGCAGCAACCAAACCTATCCTGCTGACAAGCAGACTTGCATCCCTTGAATTTGGGTCCGAGAGCTATGCACAAAATTTTGAGTTGAATATACTTAGTGTTTAGAAGCATATTAATATTTTTACCTGAGCTAACTCCATCTGGGCAGCATTTGAAATAAGAGGCAGAGCAGTTCTTCTTGTTGATGATGTTGCAGCCCTCAAAGTCAACACCCTTGGCCACAGTCTTGTTGTCTGGACAGCAACCATAATTAGTTTCGTGGCAGTTAACTGGAATTTTCCAAAATGATTTTAAATTAATCCTAATTAATTTGGTCCTCCTTCACCTCTGCAGCCCTTCTTTTTCTTTTCGTCTCCTGCGGGTCTTTTACCATCGGCGCAGCATCCAAACTTGTATTTTTCACAGGGAATGCAATTTTTCTTATCTTTAGTGAGCGCTTTGGTGATTCCATCATCACAACAACCGAACCTTTCAAATTAACAAAATTTATTTTTATGAAAAGATAAAAAAAAAAGTAATTATATACTTGGTCTCTTTGCAGGGAAGTCCATCTTCACAGCCTTCAAAGTTGTTTCCTGAGGCGGCAGTGGTGTTGTCCTTGCAACACCCGAACAGGGTCTTCTTGCAGTCAGCAGGCTTGCAGCCGATAAGGTACGGGTGCTTGGCAATGGTAACTCCGTCTTGGCAACACCCGTATTTGGTCTCGTGGCAAGTTTTCGGATGCGCGCAACCTTTAAATTAATTTAATTCGAAAAGTATTTTAACATATTATTATTTAATTATGTTTCTCTCGATGAGCTCCAATCGCAATAACAAATTTTGTCACTGTTTCCTAAGTTGGCGCATTATTTAAATTAGCAAAAAAACAACATGCCTTCTTTAAATGGTCCTTTGGCAGCAGTGATTCCATCAATGCAGCAACCGTACTTAGTAGACGAGCATTTCGGTTTGCGCGTCTTACACATTTTTGGTGCCGTTGGTGATACAAACTCTCCGTCAGGTCCTTTAGTGGAAAATATATCTGAAAAAGATAATTAAAATATATTCCAGCTGGGAATTTTATAATTTTTAGTCCATTTCAAACCTGTAATGCTTGTTAGCTCCTCGTCTGTGGTTGAGAATGATGACACCGAGGTTGGTGGTGATGGCTCGTCCGATACCATGAAGTTGGAGTACACGTCATCAAATGTGGTGACATCTCCTGAGCCTTCCATTTCATTGGTACCAGTGACCAGTTCGGGGCCCAAGGTTCCTTCGGAAATAATTGTGCTAACACTGCTTGATGAGCCGGTTTCTTCGGAAATAATGGTGCTAACACTACTCGAGCCTTCACCAACAGTTGAGAGGGACTCATCTCCAGACCCTTCTTCAGGCCCCTCAACAATAGTTGAATCTTTTCTAGACGATTCTACACCAGGGTCAGGATAATAAGTATCTTCTTCAGGCCCCTGTACAATTGTTGAATCTTTTCTAGACGGTTCTACATCAGGGCCAACATAATCATCATCTGTCACTTCAGCTGGAGATTGTGTAGTTTTGACTGTGGCTGTATGAGCTTCTTCGGTAGAAGTCTCTGTTGCCTCCCTGGTGGTGGTTTCCTCTTTAGTAGTCTCCTCTTTGGACGTGGTCTCCTCGTTCAACGTGGTTGATTCAGACTTTTGAGTGGTTTCTTCAGTCTTGGTGCTGGTAGCCTCAGTCTGGGAAGATGTTATTTCTTCCATTGAACTGCTTGTTTCATTAACAGAATCGGACGTGAGCTCGGACTGAGCCGTCGAAGCTTCTGTGCTTTCAGATTTACTTTCAGTGCTGGTCGAAACTACTTCTGTGGACACAACCTCAGAAGAAGATGTGGCGTCAGAAGAAATTGTGCTCGCCAATTCAGATGTCAATTCCGTAGAGCCGTAGGCTAAAAAGAGTTATTATAAAAAGTGAAAAATAAATTCATAAATACCTTTGGTTGCTTCACTAGCATCCACAGAAGTTTCTTCTGTAGTTGCCTCTGAAACATCAGTGCTAGAGGCAAATGTTTCTGAGGTTGTAACGGAATCCTGAAAATTTTAATTTTTTATAACAAATTTTATATCACGTTGATGTATTTATACAGGTGTAGAGTATCCTGAGCCTTCTGGTTCTTCGGTTACTGTTTCTTCGGTGACTGGTTCTTCAGTGACTGGTTCTTCCTCTTCTTCATCTTCATAAGGAGGCGGTTCGAAAAGTTCAGTTAGTTCTTCAACACAATCTTCCTCGTCAGGCGCAGGCGTTTCCGCAATATCAATCTCGGTAATAACATCTTCCTCAACAGCTAAATTATTTAAATTTTTGTATTATTAAATTTATTACTATTTTCTTATAATTTTCCTTATTTAAACTTACCCTTTCCACACGTTTCCGCAGGACAGGTTCGAGTTGCGGGTGATAAAGCGCTGGCGTCACATTTACTCGGGTCTCCAACAGTTCCATTCACAAAACAGACTACGGCCCTCTTCTGAATTTCACCACACTTCTTGCACTGAAATTTTTTTTATCATTTTCACTCTTTTGCTACATTTAATTTGATTAATTCGCACCTCACTCCAGGGGCCAGTGAACCACTGTCCGTCACAATTTGCATTTTCCTCACACTCCTCCTCTTCTGAATATTTTGAATCAGATTCGCACTGAGAATCATCTGAGACTCTTGTAACAGAATCACCGTCAATTTGTCCGCAAAAAACGTCTCTGGTGCGCAAACCCTTTCCACAGTCAGCTGAACACTTCAAAGTGGAATTAAATTTATTTTAAAATAGTAAAGACGCTGCAGTCTGAAACTTACATTACTCCATTGTGAGGCGTACCACTGGTACTGGCAAACACTTGCAGTGCAGTTTTCCTTGTCAGATGGTTTCAGCTTCTCGTTGCAACTTTCCTCTGGATACAAATCTCCAGTAAGAGAAGCGCAAACTACATTCCTAGTCTTCATTGATAGCCCACACTTGGCCTCGCACTATAAAATTTAAAATATAAAATGATTTTTAAAAATGAGCTATAATAAGAATTTATAGAAAGGAACATTCAAGAAATGAAGATAATAAGCTCCAGAGTTACACATTTTATTTTCTTGATTACTAAAAAAATATTACATTAATTATTTCATCGCCCCCACTCATCTAAGACAGCTGAGATTATTTAAATTTTAAATCATTAAAAATTTTGAAAATAATTTAATTAAAAATGATATATCTACTTCGGTCCATTCTGAAGTCATCCAGTCCACACCGTCACAAGGCTGATCAATGCAGGTTCTTTCGGACTCGGGCCTCTCTTCGTGACATTCACCATCAGATAAGATTTCAATTTTTCCATCCTTTGACTTCTTGTGACAAGTGACCTCTCTTGTTTGCTTGCCTTTCCCGCAAAGTTTGTCGCACTTAAAAAAAAATCAGATTTAAATAAAAATTAAGAGAATAAATAAATAATTTACAGGTGTCCAAGGGCCAAGGAAATATTCTGGACAAATGGCGTCCTCTTTGCATAACTCGGTCTCGTTTTGTTTTTCTCCAAACTTCTTGACACAAACTTCGTCGTCAATGATGGTGGGCCTTGCGTTGCTGATGATCTGCTGACACAAGATTTGTCTGAACCGAAAGCCGCCCTTGCACGGCTTGCTGCAGTTGCTCCAGTCTTTGATGTACCACTCGGGCTCGCAGGGATCCTCGTTGCAGGGCTGAACTTCAAGGGGTCGGCTGGCAGGATCGCAAAGACGCAAACTCACAGACGAGTTGTCACTCTTCTTGACGCAGCCCAGGGTACGATTCTGGGTGCCTTTAAAAAGTAAGTGGATTAGTTTCAATGCGCAAAATAAAGGTACTTCCAAAGATCTCACCTCCTCCGCAGGGAATACTGCAGGCTAGGAAGTCGTGAGTAACCCAAGAGTAGCTGTCAGGGTCACCTTGCTGGGCGGTTTCCTTGGAAAAACTGTATTCATACTCAATACCTTCCCCCTTTTCTTGATATAAAAGCTGAAAAAATAGGATATTAAACAACAGTTTTTTTTTACATGGCAATCATGGCATGAATATTTGAAACTTGTATTTTTTTACAAAAATTTTATTTTAAATTATGAAATTTCTATTTTAATTTTTTGTAATGCAATCATATAATAATAATCAAATTAATAAACCAAAATTAATCTGATTTTGTTTTTATATTTTGCATTTTTATAAACTTCTGTTTTTTATAATGATACCTATATTTTATTCATGCTGATAAGTAAAATATTTCATTGAATGAATGGAGAGTAACATTTTAATTTTTAATTTTAGTGTTATTTTTAATAATACGTACCACTATATAAAGTGATTCATTTGTAGGTCCCAGAGCCCGAATGACCTCATACCCGAAGAAACTGTTTGGCTGCCGCTCATAGTGGAAGATTGTTCCAGCAAAATTAAAGTCCCTCGGATGGTTGATGTTGAAGTTTCCATTTAAATAGTAGACATTTTTCTCGTTTCTAACAGCTTTTAAAGAGTCAATGTCATTGTTAAGGTAAATAGGAAAAAATATTAAAAATACCAAGATAATTGTTGGCTGCGTTGAGCTCTCGAACAAGAATATTTGTGGCGCCAGCAGGAATTAAGAAAACGTCATTGTAGCCTAAAAGTGGCACAAGATTATCAAAATATGAAAGCTAACCCTTAGAAAATTTGTACCATACTGAGCGTTGACCAGGTCTTTGTCAAAGGTGAGCGTGTTCTTGACAGTACTGCAACCAGCGCCGTCGCCGCCGCACTCTCTGCATTTGTCTTCGCGCAAGCTCGAGCCCAGCTTCAAATCACATCCCACGGGCTGGTTGGAAAATTTTATAAAAAAAATCACCCCTTGTAAAAATATAAATACCATGCACTTTCCATCGACGCAAACGTCAGGATTCTCGTCATCGCATCTTGTGCCGTCGGCAACTTTGTTCTCAAATCGGTTAAAAAACCTTTCGCCCCTCGGCATGCAGTTCAGCGCGCACCTATTCGCTCCTTTTGTGTAAGGAATCCAACTAAAAAATATTCAGTGTGATTTGAGCTGGAGAGAAATCATTTCCCAATAAAAATCCTACTCGTAAAAGGTTCCCTCGAAGGGTTGCGAGTTGAAAGCGGCGCACTGCTCGGCCCTGAAGTTTTTGGAGCCTTCTGGACAGGGCTGGAAATTATTTATGCATTCATCAAAAAACGGGTCAGACATTTTTAGGCATTAATTGGAGGAGTCAATGCATAGTTCAAACAATTGGCTATTGAATTCACTTTTCATTAACCTTGTCATTTGAATTGAATTTTGGGTGATCCAATGGAGCAAATTTTTACTATTTATTCCTATTTGAAAAAAAAATATATAGCACAATTAAGAAATTTTAGGAGGCTATCAATCAATCCATTATTTTTAATTCTACTCTGCCAGAAATCAAAAATTTATTTGAATAAATACCCTCAGCATGAATCAATTTTTTATTTATTCAGTTGTAATGACAGGAAAGTGTGCCTAATATAAATCAGAAATAAACTACAAAGAATTTAATTCTTTTGTAAATTTAAATTTAATTTTTTTGCAATTGTTCATGCACCTAAAAGTAAATAAAGAGCAACTGAATAACTTTATGGCATTACGTTATTAACTGACCAACTCTGGTGGCCATTCATTGTGGTTATTTACTGTCAGGGGACCACCGAAGAGGTTGGGTGCGAGGGGTCATCTGATTCAGAGTAATAAAGCGATAAAATATATATAAACCAATACTGACCATTCTGTTACATGAGAAGTAGCGTTTATCAGGCCCTTGACATCTGCTCTCCGATCTGGAAGGAGAATTTCATGTTTTGAATCGCAAACGGTGCGATAATTAATTCTAAAAATAATCAAAGTGCACTCGTGAGATCAGAAGAAACGCGCGGAGATAAAATCGCAAATCAGATATAATACAAACAACATTTTATTTTATCTCGTTAATTCCAATCATTAGGAGGGAGAGCTGCTGGCGGAGAGACAATCGGTTTGAAGTTTACTTACTTGCAGAGCCTGCTTTGGAAGGCGACTCCACCTCCACACGAGCGAGAACACGAACTCGGCACCGACCACTCGCTCCACGGCCCGATGTCAGGGCGATTGTCCAGCACCACATAATTTACAGGAGTGTAGTCGCTGTTGTTGACCATCTTTTTGTGGCGAGCGTGTCGTATTTTGTGCTGCGAAACAAAAAAATAAGAAAATAATGGCCACACATTCAAAGTTTAAAAATATAATAAAAATAATGATTTAAGTGAAACAGGACAGGGGGAGCTGGAAATGTTCATTTAGACCTTTGACCTCTGTCAGGTGCATATACGGCCCAAATTAAATTGGTGAGGAAAGTATTATCACATTTTTTTTCTTCTCGGCAAACCAACATAGCCCACTAAAAATTTTTACTTATGGTTTATAATAAAAATGAATTTTTAATTGTAATCGTTAATGAATTCTAAACAAATAATTTTCGTTAAAAAAAACACATAAAAATTAATTAAATTATAAATATTTAGCATGAAATTGCTGATTTATTCCATCCTAATTATTTATTCAAAAAGGATTGCTTTTATAATTAAATTTACCTCTGGAGTGCATCATGCTATGCATTGAAACTAATTAGAAAGTAATTTACCTGCTACCTGCGTCAATGCAAAGCTTACCGAGAGTAAATTTTATTTGTCAGACTCATTACTTGTGCAGGCAATTAATTTAGGAGCGAAGCATTTTGCGTCGTAAATCAGTATAAAATACGTCCTCGCTAAAAGCGAACGCTCCTTAAAAAGATACTAGCAGTTGTACCCATATTGGGTCGAAATGTGAATAATAATGAATGACTGCTCAAAAGTTCTCAAAGAATGTTTCGTTATTTTGGAAAAATTAATCATATGTTCCAAAAAAAATACGCTAGTCACAAGGCTTAGGAACGTTTGAAAAATAATTATTGACTAAACTTTTATTCTAAAGATTAAGGCTAAAATTTTAGCTCAAAAGTACTTGGAAAATCGTTGTAAAATACTTAAAAAATTTTAAGCGAGTTATTTTTTAAATAAAAGTAAAATGAAATAAATCCCCAAATTCATTTATTTCATTACAAAATTTGCTAACCAAAATTATCGATAGTTATAATTATTATTTCTTAATTTAGAGGGAAATAGAAAATCTCCGCAAGTATGCCGGTGTAAATTCAAGAATTTAATTTATCATCGAATCAGTATTTGGCCCCGCCTGACGTAGAACAGGACGAAGTGAATGGGTTAGCAGGGTTGGTGTCCAATCAGCGGGTCAAAGATGTGCGATTCAGCAGCACCCAATGGTCTGTCGAACGATCTGCTGGTGAGCATGCTGGCCGGGCACCACAGCTGTCGGTCATTGCGCCGCAAAAGCACCCCTGGGTCCCTAGGGTGGCAAGCTCCACCCCTTGGACGAACCCCCGCATGCGCCGCGCCAGCCCTTGCAAATTTATCAACCCCCAGCTATGGTTCCGAACCAACTTAACAGAGTTTTCTCAATACAATATAAATAAATGAATAAAAGGAATTCTCTGCGCTCTCGTTTCTCTTCTCTCGCTTCTCGTCTCTCTCGGCAATAAATCAATTCGTCGTTCATGCATATGGATGCAACGTGCTGCACGAATAGCTCCCGAGAATTAAAACGATCTGCTTTTGGTTCGTTTTGAACCCGAATTCATCTCGGTTTCCCATCGCGGCACCGCGCCCTGGTTAATACAAATAACGAGTTTGTTTGCCGATTGATATTATATTGGCTTCTGCGATAAATGTGTCTGCAGTCGTATGCATTTAATTGTAAGAGAGTCGACGCTGCATCTTAATTAAGAGTACAAAGTAAAAGTCGAATTAGAGTTGTTTTTTCATAAGCAAAGAGCATTTGGATTCCAAGGAAAAATGATTGTAGATTTCAAACCAAATGCTGAATTTATTTTAAAATAAGATTGAATTTTAAAAATGAAATTTTATAGTGGAATGGAGAGTTCAATCGGTACAAAAAGTGATGAAAAGTGAATCCGTATATTAATATTATTTTGAATCACAAAATTCACTGCAAGAAGGATGAGGTAATAGAATTTAATAATATCCTTGCACATCTTGACCAAGATAAATTTTTAAAAAGTTTAAGAAATTATTTAGCATCAAATTGTTAAGAGATAATTGGAAACATGCGTAATTCAACGCAACATAAAAAAATCGTGTCGCTCGCAAGTTTTTCCGCTGGCATTATAGGCTTATACCAAATGTGCAAGCTGCGAATTGCAATTTAAAACCCATTATCACCGGATTAATGTTTGAAAATATATACATAAAGAAAGGAAATTACTATATTTCGCAAAAAAGATGGAGCCAGAAAAATTCCATACTATCTTTGGGTATCTCCAAAATTTAAATTAATATTTACTCTGTATCCTTGATGCTCATTTAGTTGCAAATTAAGTTTATTGGTGTACCACAAGGCAATCTCTGCCTCTCGAGATACATCATCCAAATATTCAAAAATTATAATTGAAAAACTACAAGATCTGAAAAGAGAGAGAAAAAAAATTTTATACAGTGCAGAAGGCATCACCCAATTTTTATATTTTTTAAAACATGGTGTCTTATTTGATAGAAATGTACTTTTGATTTCAAACTCTTTTTCACAATTCCATTAACATGATCTGACGCTAGAGGAAAAGGAGGAGGTGAGATGTATTATATTTTCACAACTCTTATAATTTTACTAATTCCTTGAGTCTAGAAACAATAATATATTGTTGTTTGAAAATAAGAAATGAAAAGTACATTAACATAAACGATAACTTTATTTTCTGATCTAATTATGTTAAAAAATTTAAAATTGGATATTATTTAAGAATAAAATTTAAATTAAATAAAACGAGTTATTATTTTTTGAATTAAATAAAATAAATTTAATAAAAAAGTTCCTATTTTATGTACTTTTTATAGATTCATAGCAAAAGATGTCCATAATTTTAATAAAAATTAAAAACAGAGGATGCGGAAAAAGTACAAATCATCTCATTAGAGCCCTGCGCAGCGCTACCACTCTTTCGTGCTTCGGCTAATTAATCAGCAAAAATTCCAAATCACGGTGGATAATCCGTCTCGTTTGTGAGAAGCGCTCTGCCGCCAAATGGAACGGCCTTGCGCGTTCGAAGCTCAAACACGTGTGCAAGATAATTTTTACAGCCCATTCGACTGCACATTTAAGTATGCATACACCTGTTCCGTATATATGTGCCTAATCATTTCTCTCTAAAAGGCCTAGCGAGCGAGCGAGCGAGTTAGCCAAGCCAAAGTCAATATAAGCCGAACATTCTTTCCTGCTTTTTTTTTAATTATTTAGCAGAACTGCGGGGCGTTGATGAGCTTCATACAAAATATTTGAAAAAAAAGCATTAACACTGCCATGGCTAGAAAAGTATAGTGTTTTTTGTTTTGTTTTGGTGTGCCTTTGAAGAGTGACCTTTGGCAGGGGGTGCGGCTCCATGGCTCACCTGAATGCCTTTTAAACTATCTGCCATTTGATTAAGGAAATAAATCCTGGGAGGGTCCAAGTCTCGTTACCAACTGGGCGGCACCACGCCGGTTTGTGTCCGAGTGTTATTTAAATTCGGCCGGTAGTAAAATGCATAAAAAATTTATGTATATAAAAAAGGGAGATATACTCACGTGTCTGGCGAGCGATGCACTAAAATATGTTGCCAGGACGAAGATCAAAAGCGCCAGTGACCTGCGGAACAGAACCATTGGCTTTTAATTATTTTGAATGTAAATTTTTTATCTCTGACTAAAGGACAGATATAAAATTTTGGAACTTAATGAGCCATTAGACACCATAATACGCTCGTAAAGACACAATGGGGAAAAATAGGCGCGCGGTTTTATCAAAGAAAAGAGATTAGAAATGGAGAGGTTTAAAATTAGTGTATAAATTTCATGTCATTACAACATAAATCCAACTTGCAATATAGCTTCTGATAGTTTTTCTTTGGTGATTCGTTGCCATTAGAATAGTAAATTTTTTCCATTCATTCTCTTTAAAATAATTACAAAAAGAAAAAAGATTTCAAAATTTGAATTGACGGCCAATCAACAGAATGCCATTTTTCTTGTTTTTTTTTGCATTTATAAAAATGTCAAAAATAATTTAACTTCAATATTGTTAAATTAAAAATTATCATGTATAAATTTTTCTGCTCTAAGTTTTTCATAAAATTAACAAAACATTTTAGTTTTATATCGCTATCTTCATTAAAACGGTAAATACAAGATTGTAATTAAATTTGCAAGTAAGAAAAAGCGTATAAGTGAAAAAAAAAAGTGACCCGGCAATGCAAAATCATAAATTGGTAGTGGGCTTGCTTGATTTAATTTGACCTTTCAAATCACAAAAAATGATCACACAAGGGAGAAGCACCAGACTGGCACAAAGAAAGATTCATTTAACACCTCTTAACTCTGTGATTTTTTTTCTTCACACTTTTATTTTCGGTTTGACACAAAGCGCAATTTTTACGATTTTTTGCTTCACTTGCACGCCGCGGATTGATTGTTACGGCGGTCGCAAAACGTGGGGTAAAACGATTCGCGAAGTCATTGCGCCGCGCTGCCGTATTTGTTTCGAGAAGGATAAAAAAGGGCTTTGCGCGCAACTGAACACGTCTCTCTCACAATGCTGCACTTCGCCGACGGTATAAATACTTTGCCTTATCCAAAGGCTCATGCGCGTTTATAATGCTTTTTGTGTGCAGAGTTTTGCTTTGCTTAGAGAGGAGAGAACAGAAGAAACAAAAATTTGATAATTTAATTTTAAAATTTCAAATTTACTCGAGTGAGAGACTAAATAAAATGGTATTAAGTACTCTCGACAGATAAAACCGATTGCATCACACTTCTCTTGAAATCGTAACAATTTTACGATTTTTATGCTTCAGAGAAGTCATTCTCGGTTCGACAAAAAACCAGCAGGATGTTTATTTTTTTTTTTTTTAGTTAGCGTTTGAAATCAGTGTGTAAGGTAACTCTGTTTATAGAAGATAGAAGCATGTAAATAATAATTAGGCGGGTGAATTGTATTTTGATTTTTATTTGATTTAATTATAAATTATATTCACAAGTAAAGATAAAATTTTAAAACATACATACCAATTTCATTTGAAATGGAGTTTGCATAAGTTGTGAAAAAAAAAAAATTATAACTTCTTCAAAACCTGAAAATTTTGATCTCGATGATAACTTTCGTTTTAGAAACTGTCTGTTTCTCATATTTATTTTATAAAAATTATGGTTTTTATATCTCATAGGTCACTGGACATAATCTTGCCCTTCATAAAACTGGTTATGTTTGTGAAAATTTGTTTCATACTTCTGATAATATTTACAGGGTCTGTTTCTTTAATTTGAAGAAAATTTGTGCTTCAAAATTGTACTTGTATTTTTTAATAACAATAAAAAAAGGACTTATAAAAATCCACAAGCGTATAATATTTTTTTATAAAAAGAGAGGAAAAAAGACATAATTCCCATAGGGCAAAGCGCGGAAGCTGATGGAAAGGTTATGTGATGAGAAAAGATGATACAGCATTTGGGAGGCAACCGACTAGATATTATTATTTTTTTCTTTATAAATTCATCAAGAGCTCATCACATGTGAAGTCTGCGGTTGAATTTAATTGACTCGTCTCTGTGGATGCTGTCAGGCGGGTCCAGGGTGCTTGGCAGGTGGTAAAGCTGCGTTGTGGGGTCGCCTCCTAGGATTTTCGGGCCGCGCTCTTCTCAAAGAAAGGGCCGCAATTAGTGTGATTAATGATAACGCGCATTGTTCTCTGCGCGAGCACAATTGCCGTAAATCACAGCAGCCGCCGAGGGAGAATCACTTCATAATTCCCTTGCGCTTATCTCGCATTTGTATATTATGCACCTGCAGCTCCATGTTCATAAGAATGAGCGGAGTCATGCAGTAATTGGACGGTCGCTGAGGGACAGATTCACCTCGGCTTGATTGCCAGGGGTCGCTTTTGGGTCGCCAGATAACGAGCAGAAAAGAAGCCAAAAGCCTATTTACTCTGGCAGGCACCACATGTGCGTTGCCTTTTTGTACTTTTTCAATTGTCAGCTCCTTCAAACGGAGTGTTTTCTTAGCTGCGCTTGCCAAGAGAGGAGGTGGCGGATTTCATTGAGGAAAATTTTTACAATAACAGATGTTGTTTCTTTGATAAGCAGTTGGCGGCGGCACTTGGACAAAAGAGAGCAAAGGAAATGAGCAGAGAGGAGCAGAGCGGCTCTGACTCATGTTTTAAACTTTAAATTGGCGGCTAGAGGAAATCGATTTTTTTGTTACCCTGCTTGCTTGAAAGGACTTTTGCTTGCATAGAGAGCAACGCCAAAAGAACTTGAGATTACAAAATACAATTCATTTTATTGCTGTTTAAATGGTTCACTGCTAAGTGCTGTCTTGATTAAAATAACAAAAACTTCTAATTTTTACCATTAAAAATTATCCTTGCATAATTGTGAAAACTCATACTCAGAATGCTTAAAAATTTTATTTTTATATTAGTTTGGATAAATCTAAATTTTCAGAGTAAACTTGATTTCTGCAATATTTAAAAATAAATAAAATTGTATTACGTAGAATTAATAAATAATATTTAATAGCTATATAAGATTAACATTTCAGTGACTAATCATGAAAGCGCTGTCAGTGCGTACAAATTATTTCTTTATTTTCACACAAAAAAACCATCTGCTTTCTTGGAATTACCTTACATATCTTACAATTTAACATATATTTCTAGCTGTGCTTGTATTATATAACAAGCACAAACAACAATATTTTTCAAACCCTACCTCCACAGCTTGATTGCGTTGAGCTGTGCGCGTAATTTATTAGCCTTACGCGAGTAAAAATAAAATTCTTTCCATAAACGGCAGGCCTGCGGCTAATGGAGAGATCATTTTAGATACACTCCAACTTCTTTCAGTGAAAATCGTTCATTTTTTAATGCAGACGTGAGGAATAAAAAAGCCTGCGAGAAGAAGATGCGTTTATAAGAGAGATAATTACAAGCCAGAAAACCGAGGTAAATTGCGTTCACAATGAAATTTCCACGCAGTGGGAGGAAACTGACCAACATTAAGTGAAGCCAGCGCAGGGATGCATTTCAGAGCAAAAGAACTCTTTTTATGAGAAGAGATGTTTCTGGACTGCAGTCGCTTGAAAATAATTGAGCTCCAAGTGAAAGAGGAAAAAGGGATCTGCTATAGCTGGAAAGTAAATAAGTAATCCGGCAAGTTCTGAGAAATTAAGGAGGAGGAAAGTGTATATTCAAATTTTTCTTATGGGGTTTGTTTGTTATCATTCTGCTGTTTGCGTTACACTCAAGATGTGTGAGTGGGTCTTGAAACGCAAAACAAAAAACAACTTTTCTAGTGAGAAGTGATGTTGAGTGCTGGACAAAGTTAAACATTAAAACTTTCAACAGTTATAAATTTTGTGTTTTTTAAACGTTCAAAAACATGTAAATTTATGGATAAAAAAGTCCTCCAGCAGCAAAGTTGAAAAGATCAAATCAGTGAAGAATAAAAAAAGTTTAATCAGACTCATTTCTTTCAATTAATTGTAACAGGACGAAAAAATATAATACATGTTATGATCTTTTTGCACCGGACGCGTTCAGAGACCATTTTGCTTGATATCTTCGGGTGATAAATTCAAGTGCACATTCCAATAGCCCCATTCATTTCACATTTGAATTATACAATATCGGTCGATCCGTCCGTCCGTCTGGGCGCCCTCCCGTGTCTGTCTGACCATAACACAAACGTGACCCTATTCATTAGGCCCTGATAGCGGTGACCTTGTGAACTTGGCATCTGCAACGAATGATGGGAAAATAGCCGTCGCCGCGTTTCATTTGTGTTGCAGCCGCACCGAGAGCAGACTCTCCTAAACGTCTGGACCATTCGACACAAGTGTGGGCACGAGAGTTGGATAAAAAAAAAGAATGATGATAAAAGTCTCGGTTGTGTATAAACTGTGAGCGTGCTCTCGTCTGATCGAGTGAACGTTCTCCAGAGCTCAATCAATCTAAATCAAATTGGGGGCGTTGAGAAAATAGAGGAAACATAAATAATTTTTAATTAATTATACAACATCAAAATAGTATAGACTGAAGTATTATTTTGATATATATCATTATATTATTATTAAACTTTATTTAATTTTCTTATTATTATTAAAAAAATTTTACTTTAAAATATTTATTTAAATTTAAAATTATTTTCATAATTTAACTTTTTATTTTAACATGGATTTTTTTTAGATTAGTTTGAAATAGTTCAGAATTTACTATATTAGATGAGAAAATATATTTTATATATACAACTTCTATTTAATTTTAAAGCTTCATGTTGAAAGTCTTGTGAAAATTCTAGTACCTCTTGCTTATGGACATCTTTTCATTTCATTATAAATGTCTTCAAAAATATAAAATTTTAACATGCTTATTCGGAGGATAATTCAGTAACTGATAATAAACTTCATACAAATAATCAATGGCAAGTTAAATGAACAGAATCACCACTAAATTTTTGTGGAGTTCAATTAACTTGAATGAACTGCTGCAGTGCGGACGAGAATTTTCATCTCCTCGGCTGCTAATTGCCACGTGCTCTTGTCTCGGTCTGCGCAAAGAATTACCGAAAATTACGCGGCGAGTCTCTCTCGTC